CAACCTCGCCAGCAGCGGATGTTGCAAGGAGTTTTTCTGAGGAGTCGAATCTTTTGACCAGCCAGGTGTGCTTAGAACGATACACATGACGCGCAAAAACATCTTAGGATCCCATTCAGTTTGAGACGCGCCAGTTTTGTAGAGCCAAGTGAAATCGATACCACACTGAATCTTATGATAACCTCCGATAGCAAGATCATGACAGCCTTTGGAGCAGAACGATATGTTACATCCGCATGATGGTCGACAAATTTGGATTGGTTGTACAAAAGGGGGAGCCAGGTGGGCATGACATGCATCGCAAAATTGTCCAGTGGAAGGCGGAATATTTGAAACGCATGTGTATGACTTATCAACTAAAATTGATTCTCCTTCTTCGATGTCGCGTGTGGCGAAAATACCCAGGGGTCCAACATCTGCGTTTTTAGAAAGATCAGAAAGTGATCTAGATTTTGATGCTGTACCCGGAGATCCGAAGATCACAGGTCGGACTTCTGCATTGAGAGAGCCAAATGTAGAGTTGACTTTTCTGATCAAACGGGGTGTTCGGACAAAAAGCTTTGGAGCCATCCACGGGTATTTTTTCTGGTATATCAATCCTGATCGACTCCCTGCAACGGTATTGTCATCAGGCCCATCCTTGGCCTCTTCCACTATTTCTTCATGTCTATTCTGGAAAGATGCAAACAATAATGCTTGAAGATCGAGTAATTCAAAATCACCTGGAAAATCCTCCAGACCAAGTTTGACCACCGTCAAGCCATCCCAAAATGCCGCACAATGCAGTAATCCTTGGACCAAACAACGATAAGTTTGAAGACACATCGATTGTAGTTCGTCAATAATTATAACTGTCGAGCTTGTGTAAAGGCGAGTCGCAACAGCTGTGTATACTAAGCGAGAGAGCTCGGATTGTTGAGGAGTGATGGTTTGAAGACCAGCCTTGATAAGAATAAGAGCGCGATACGCGTAATGGGACGAGGTGTCCTTAAAAGCAAGTGTGGCGTCAAGATTAGCAAGATCGATGTAAATGAAGGGATCATGTGGCGCAATGGTCATGTCATGAATAAGTGCCTTGCGGTAGAGTATGAGACCATCGAGCTGATTCTGTTGATTCAATGATTAGTTACCATATTTAACGTTCTGTGTGAAACTTGCCTTTTTCTGAAGTTCGATGGATTTCTCAGTGATGAGATCAAAGTCACATGTTCCAGTCCACTCGTGGCGAATTTTAAACTTTTCGGCGTCTCCTTCGATGGTGCTAGGTACGTATTCCATCTGAGAGTCTTCAGTCACAGCAGGGCAGCTAGCACTATGTATGGCTTCGATTGGATCAACTGAGACTGCAGGAGCCGTGTCAGGATTGAAAGAAGAGGATGTCATTGCTTCAGTGAGTTCTAGTTCTGTAAAGGCCATTGATAAGACCTTCTCCGCGGTTTTCTCAGGCGATTCGGTGTCTGTCGAGTCCAGCGATGGGTGCAATTCCTTTGCGGGGTGTCCGTCGACTACTTCGATGCGATCAACTCCTGGCTTTTCAAGTGCCTCCTTGTTCTTTTCAAGTCCCGCTTCGCTTCCAGGAACGAGTTCAAGAGCGGCATCTTTCCATAATAGGGAAGCAAGTTTGATCACCTCCTCAGGCTTTGCCTTGCACTTAGGAGTAGGCTCTTCATCATAAAGCGACGCAAATATTGAAGCCACTTTTCTCTTGAATTTCTCGGGGTTCAAGGCTCGAATAACGAGGGGAGGGGGACTTGACATAATAGCTTCATGGTCAGATGGAGAGGTAGGAGGAGTGTCGATGAAGTCAACTTTGTTAGGAGATAGTGGAATGGTGGTCTCGGACATTATTTAAATAATTTCCGTTAGAAATGATGTGGTGGGAGTGAATTTTTAGATGATCAAATGACCAAATAATGAAGGATAGTCGTTATGTTTGCTAATAATATTTGAGTGAAAAAGATAATTTAGATAGTTGGAGTAAATCTATATAGAAAGGGATTAGATATGGCTCATAAGAGAAATGCAAGACAGTTTTTTAAGGTAGCAAACAACGAAAGAAATATTATCAATACAAATACAACATGAAAGTAGGTGTTTGTGACGAACCGTCTGTTTGTAATATGAAGCGAGGGAGCTGCAGAACGCAGGCATCTGCTGGCCAACAGGCAAAAGCTGATGGGAGTAACAAAACAATAAGTGTTAAGAGGTTTAGAAATCGAAGAATTGGATGGTGCAATGCTAAGGATGAAGACGACGGTGAGGATTTGGGTATTTCGAGATGTGGACTGGTAGTGATTGTTTGGATTGAGTATGGTAAGATATGAGTGAGAATAGGTGCTCAAGTTGTTCTTCTGTGTCGAAGACTTCTGGGTGTTGGAATGTGGTTTTTCCTTCTTCGAGACTTATGCTCTCTCAGGATGAAAGCCGATCCTTAAATAGAAGCTTGGGAGATTTTTGAGAGGAGGGAGGAGGGGAAGAAAGTGGGGTTGAAGAAAACCACTAGAATCCTGATTCACCTTGATCAGCACAGTGACTAAATCCCCGCTATTTCGGCTGCGATGGTGTTGACAATGGTGACAGCAATATTGAGCATAGACCCAAAGGACAACAGCAAGACATGATTTCAAGTTATAGGCATTATCAAGAACTGCTTGGGAGACGATATATATGAAATGCTAGTAAATAGTGTACAAAATAGACATGCCATAGTGTAGCACGGTCAGAAATTCAATAACAGGGCGTACTCACTCGAGTGAAAGCCCCGCCACGGGATGACACCAGCAAGACTCTCCTTGTTTAAGCGACAATATCATCACGAAGTTTCGACAGTAAAAGGGTCCATCAAATTTTGCTACACCGCAGCCACAGTGGATTTTTGCAGTGTCAAATAAAGTCCTTCCAAGTTGTGGCCATATCTGAACCTTTGACCTTGTGGTGTCATTTAAGTGAGGATAGTGTGTATTCAGAGGCGCGGACTCATCCGCAGTACCAACAGAGCAGGACATGGAGTACTAACATCCAATCAACCACCACTTGTCTGTCACCATATCTCAATAATAATAAACACAGCACGCGTTAAAAAGCGTCGCAATTTGCAATAACTACTGACGGCAACGAAAATAACGGAAAACAACTGCTAAAGTGATTTTTGGACGAGATATTTCCTCTTCTCAACAGAGCTCAAAGCCTTATTCAAATGACTGAATGAAACAAAATATTGCGAAATTGTAGGGCATGTGCAAATTATATTGCGCTTCATTCGAAAGATCAAGGAAGAAACTTACTTTGGTCAGGTGAATTCAAGCAGTCAGCTGAAGCAATTCACAATCGATAAATCGTTAAGGTGAATAACTGCGAAAATGTTGTCAAACTTTGGAAAACTTGCAGATAATTGAATTTTCTTGGTCACTTGAATGACAGCGCAAATAGAATAGAGAAATCAAGTGTATGATTGAAATATCTGGATGGTGAAATAAATGCGACACGGCAGCGAGAATCAAGGTGGATGTGATTGTCGAAGACCACAATCCTATATTAGAAACGAGTTACCAAGAAAAGCTACTAAGCGATACCCAGATCCAGGAATGGTGAGAGGTCGTTTTGTTGGTAGTTCCTCCATTGTTGTGGCCTTGATAGAATAGTATTGAGAGGGAAAGACATCACAGCATCGAAAGTGAGCTTGAACCACACCGCTCACTCTTCACCTTGGAAGTGAAACCCCATTATATTTGTAAAAGCAGACGACTACCATAAAATTAGCAAAGCTTTCTGTGGCAGTTCCCTGCGTGCTTCTTACATAGAACATTATCAAGATACGAGCTTTGAACTGTATAAGTTGATGTATCTGGGAGAAATTGACTCGCTCGCAACTTTTGGTTCCGCTTTGAAGTTATGAGAGATATTTTGTTAGATTGAGGATGTGAGAAAAGATGAATAGTTGACACATTCTTTGCTTGATGGTCCTGAATGGATGCAAGACAGCATCGCGCAATCTTGCAATCAACGCTTATTTGTAGAGAAATAAAGCTGAGGCAAGTTTCCAAGCTCGATCATAGACGAGGAAAGTAAAGAACAATTGTATTAACTCGTGGCGGTGCTTTGAGAATGATATCAAATTTTCATACTAGAAATAAGTATCTCACTTAGAAGACATTACTGTGAAGTTAGATTAGATAGATGTTAGCCAGAACCTTGAGGGGTATCTGTGGGGCTAGTTCAATGATATGCGGCATCTGGAACGGAAGGAGCAATCAACGGAGGTGCAAGCCGAGATTCAGACGCAGATTGAGATCTGCTATGTGATGAAAACTGTCAGTCCTTGGATATGAAGCACAAGACGAGCCTTATGATCGATCAAGGAGGTCAACGGATATGTTTAGGCGCCGCTGACAGCTCTTTGGCACCTGTTCAGCAAGCCTACTGCACATCGGACTCCAAGTACCCAAAAGTTCACACACAATGTGCGAGGAAAAGGAATCAACTTACTTCCAGTTGCAGCTCTTCAAAAACGTGATTGGCATGATTCCGATGGAAAATACCTGGATATTGCGCTGAGCTCGGTTTCTTAACAGACATGCGGTTCCCGATCGCTTCCTGTATTTATTAAGTACCACCACAAACAATATTCTTATGTGAAGCTGCAGTCGTCTGCTTCCATGAAGAAGGAGCCGTTGCACGTGTTTAGCCGAAGGATTCAATATCTAAAAGAATGTCTTTGTATCCAACGGCAACTCAAGGGATCCAGAAAAACAACAGAACTGACATGAGTTTCTGGAGACGAACCCTAATGTATAGATTGCGATATACTACGAGACATAACATGGGAAAGCCGCTCTGGTCTTATTTCGAAAAGTGCAGAAAGCTTACAAAAATCGAAGATAAGCAAATTGCATGCCATTCAACAGTAGAAACAAGCAGGTGAGTTGAGTTGGTGATTGTTGCTCCCAGGTACTCAGTTCCTTCTCCAAATCACATTTTTTGTTCTCTTATAATGTTGAATCTTAAATCTTAGCCTTCTCCTTCGGCAACCAGACACTCTGTGCATTACACCAATGCTTCAATCCCACTAATCCCCATGTCATTCCAATCCCGCTGTTCTTGAATCCCCCAAACGGAACTTTCGCGCTAAGATAAAAATGAGCATTCACCCACACACTTCCAGCTTGTAATTCCCGAGCCATCTTCTCGGCTCTCTTGATATCTTTGCTCCAGACCGAGGACCCCAGTCCTGTATTGGTATCATTGACTCTGTCTACAATATCCTCATCTGAACCGCTCCATTTGAGAACAGGGAAAATGGGACCGAAGGGCTCGAGTTGCACGATTCTTTCGGTGTCGGGTGGATTATCGATGATGGTTGGATTGACAAAATAACCTTTGCTCAATGTGTCGTTCGATTTAATGCTGTCATTTGAACCCCCAAGTGCGACTTTAAGTCCATTCTTTGCGATGTCATCGTAGAAAGTCTGGACGGTGTCCATTTGCGCTTTGCTTTGCAATGGGCCCACCCAGCTTGTAGAATCAGCCCCAGGTCCAACTTTTAGTTTGGGAATATAAGCTACGAGAGCTGACATGAACTCGTCGTAAATGTCTGCATGGACGTAAAGACGCTTTATGTCCATGCAAATTTGTCCAGAGTTCAGCAATGCGAGATGGGCGACCTATTTCATGTATTGATTAGCTCTATATCGGGTGAGAAAATAGCATAATCAGGACCAAACTATCATACTTGGCTTCGAGTCCTTTACAGTTTGATACTTGGAATCAAGTATTTCAGGAGCTTAGCTGCTGGCTAACCCCTGAAGAAGGAAAGTAACATTCAATGGGAAAACATTCTCTGACATACCTGGGGAACCACACTTGCGATATCGACATCCTCACATATAATACACGAGTCATTTCCACCTAATTCCAAGGTAACTCGCTTCAGTGTTTTAGAACAACTCTCCATAACCTTTTTACCCGTTGCGATGCTCCCAGTAAACGCAATCTTGTCAATCCCAGGATGAATGGTACACATGGGTCCGAATTCGTGCCCACCACTCAAGGCCTGCACTACTCCTGGCGGGAAGAACTTGTTTGCAAGTTCCACAATCTTAAGCCCACAATATGGTGTATCAGGACTAGGCTTCATGATAATTGCATTCCCGGCCCACACCGAAGGCACTAGCTTTCCCATCGCCAGCAGAATTGGGTAGTTCCAAGGTACGATTCCACACGTTACTCCAATGGGGACATATCTCACACTTGCGATCATGGTATCGGTCTCTTCGACGACTTCTTCGGTAAGCAAGAGCTCGGTGGTTTCTCGAATCATGGCCAAACCGCGAGCAAACTCATCATGAGCGAGGAATTTTGCCTTTCCTTGTTCCATGATGACCAGATCAACGAATTCCGATTCGTAGGATGCGAATGCATCAGCGAAGGCGAGGATGATAGCGCGACGCTCAGTAATAGAGGTACGAGCCCAGGACTTTTGAGCTATCTTCGCTGCACGCACAGCTTCATCAAGTTCCGTGATGGTGGAGAGTGGAACTGTAGGATTGGGCTCGCCAGTAGCTGGATTGATGCCATATCTACTTTGTGTTGTTGCGCACAATTTTCCATCAATTGTGTTTTGAAATGTCTGGGGTACTGTTAGCTAAATATCTTGCCATCAACCACAATGACAACCATATGAAATCTAATCTCACCACAAAATCCATTCTCTTCTCTGTATCATTTAACGTCATTTTGAATCCAAATAGAAAATTTGAGCAGTTCAATTGGAATTCGAGTCGCAAACTCGATGCAAATACAATCAACAGAACACAATTAGTCGAATGGAAAAGCTCACGATTTAAGCCAATTCAGCGAGTGCTTATTACCCCTCACCTGAGCACATTTTTATGTACCACCAAAAAGTCCTTATCAACCATTTCACAGCTGAACATTCCTTGTGGCATTTAGTGGTGAGACAAAGCGAGGTTGTAATTGGCCGCTAGCATTCCCCGCACGACGCTGTACTCGGGCCAAGTTACCCACAACGAATACAACAGTCCTAAAAAGGCCATAAATCTGGTGGTGTAGCAATGTTTGGGTATGATGGGAACCGCTTATATGCGGGAAGACTGCCACTATGTGAAATCTATGTCAAACTGCCCGTCTGCGGTGTAATTGAAGCCTTTTAACATAGCACCACGTTAGTTACAATGTAACTACTTCTCAGGAAGACTAACGACCAGGGGTTTGAAACTATAAGACGCAGAGGTTTCACGGGCAATGGCTTCGCAACTGTTTGAATGGTGTTGTATTATTGTACCCAAATTCGTGAAGTTAAGTTCGATTCAATCCCGCCGAGGTATCCGCTCATCATCATTATATTATAATCTTACATCGCCAGCCCAAACCAAAAATTGCCATAACTATGACGATCCTTTTCCCCCATGTATTTTACTCATACGAACACTACTGATTTTGGTATTGGTCGTCTTCGTGATGCCCATTCCCCAAATAGAGTCCTCTTCGCTACTCAGACTCCTCGAATCACTCGCATCTCTATTTGTCCCTCTCCCTCCACTTAATTTGCCTACATGCTTGGATATCCCCTTGCTATGTGGCTTTCCCCGAGAGTTTCCAAGTTCTAAATCGATCTCGTGCGGTTTCACATCATCTTGATGCTGTGATTGTTCATCGGAAGAAAAATCGTAAATATCGCTAGTCGCGTTTTGCTTCCCAGTTGCAATCGTTGTTGTGACACCCGAATTCAAGGGAATGTCATCTCTTAGTTTACAATCGTCGGCATCCCTCCCCAAGCTGGCCATTCTTGAACCTCCCAAATTTGCGTTCTGGCTTTTTTGCTTAATATATCCACCGCTTTTAGCATCTCCATAACCACCCCAAGCTTTACTTGGGTTACTAAGACCTTTAGTCGAGCTACCAAAAAGCCTGGTGCGTGCAAAGAAATTGCGAAAGAGAGGGCGTAGAGTAGCGACCGAGCAGGCCGTAATGCCGATGCCTGTTTCGACAGTCGACCAGATAGCTACATCGACGGTCGCCCAGAGGAAATCGGCTATATTTGAAAGATCGTGAAGGTATGGAATGCGAACTATGGTTGCGGTAGAGGCACTGTAGGATAATCATGTAAGTTTCATGTAAATCCTCCAGAGCCCTAAGTGAAAACGAGGCTTAGGGTGGTAACAAAAAGTGAAAGCACGTACATAGCACCCATGGACAGAATAATTGCCACACTGATCTTATCTCTAGGTGTCATCTGGAGATTCCACACCACCCATATCGGGATCAAACTCAAAATCCAGTCCGTGGCGCAAGTTATAGCGCTATATGCATATCCCGCATCGACCGGAACATTGGCATTTATACACTTTCCTGTTCCGTTCGTATACTTGGTCCAGAAATAGTTCGAAGGCTGACATTGAAAGATGAAGACAAGAAAGTAGAAGATGCCACCGATTTCACACAACAAAAGAGTACCAAGAATGATGTAGCGATGCAGTGGTACGTTCGAAAGGCGCAGGAGGAAAACTGCAATAGAAAGCTTAAGGGCCATGTTGGAGACGACGTAGACGGGCTCGCATAGCCACCAATACTGATGAGATGTCAGAAAGAGCTCAGTGGGGCAACAGTGCGATTTCAAAAGAGACCAAGCCAAGTGAGCGTAGGGGTTGGGAATATCTTTGTTATGTGAACGTTCTCAAAACAAAGAGGTGTCATCGTTGTTTTCGTATAAGATGCTGAAGGCTTGATCTGTTGGTATGGAGAATAGGGACCACATTATAATCAAGTAAGAATTGAAAAGATTGGATTACCTTGAGACCGATTGGGACATGTTCAGTTGGAATGTCCCAAATATGTTTACCACTTCCATAAGTTACAGCTGAGAGGGAGAATGTAGAATATACCATAAAAAATGCCTTTTGAAAACCCAGTTAGCAGGCAGAACACCTCATAGTCATTTCAAGCATATATAAGAATGAAAGAGAAAACTAACCCAAGCAATAACAGCAAGTGTATCATCCCAACCAAAACTTTTGATAACAACCGCTCGGCAATATGTTCGCATCCAAACGGACAGTGTAGTCAACACAATAAACAATATCACGACTCCTTGGATCTGTGGCCCTCTATTCGCATGTGACTCCGCCCGTATCGATAACTCCAAAGACTCCATTTTCCCAGTTGGCAGTAGCAATAACCAGCTGTGTTGAAAGTGGCACTGACAGCTAATGTGACCTCCAAGAATTTCCCCAATTTCTCCACGAACACAACGACGGAATGAACGTCAAAACTCGAACCTTAATGTGGGCAAAGACTAGTAGATAATATGCGTCTGGCAAATTCAAATGAACCCCTCGAGAGTACAGGACCCAAAAGAATGGATTTTATTTGTGTAACCCTTCGATTGGGGGGACCCACGACCACATTTGAAGCATTCACATCCTTTCAACGCAAACGCAAGGAACCAGGTATGTAAATGAAGTGCAGGTATACATCTAGAATCTCGGTCACTCTGCCCCAGAGCGGATTTGGGAAAGTAGATCTGCTATTGTGCATGGAAAGACGGGAGAGCAAGGCGTGATCAAAGCGTTGAGAAGTTTACCATTCAATCATCGGAGACGTCCCAAACAGGAAGACAATACCGTTCTTAGATTCTGTTGGCATCACTGTATAGTAAGATGTGGTAATACTTACTGGGTATCAGCACTGGATATGGATTTGACAATCTGATACGCTGATCTTAAGTCCTACGCAAATAGATAGTGTGCTGCCAAAGTGCTTGTCGAGTCTAGTCAAGGTTGTTCCACCTGTCAATAAGCTACTCAACTAGATGCTGAAATCATCAGTCACCATTTAGTGACGCTTTTGGAAGTTCATATGCGTGGCCTCCAACTGTAATTGTATCCAAATGTATGAGTAGGGATCAAGGAAGCTTAGGCTTAATGTACCAGACTGATTGAACCGGGGCCCAGATGCAATAACTCTTAGCTTGAACTATCCGAATTTGTGTAATGATCATACCATAAATTCCATTGACCTATTAAAGCCGATGTAGTGTATTTAGCACCGGAGTTGCATACTTTCTGGCCGCACGAGTACTTTGCACGGCATTTGCTTTCTGCTTGGTTGATCAATTCCTGGGATTAGCCTTGTGAAAGTGCCGTACGTGATTACCAATATCCTAGCACGGAAGCTAAATTATTCCGTCGCCCCAAGGAACTAATCAGTCTGTTAGTATCGAGACTCGAATAAGATTTGGGATGTCCTATAGGCGATGTGATGCGCAGTTTGTTGCGGTGAACCAATCGAACATCTATTCCTCTCCTCTTGTCTGGAGTATTCTATCAACTCTATAGACTGACTCTTGGCCATTGTTTGAACATCGCACGGTTGTTGCCAGACGGGAGACGGGAGACCTACTGAGTGACAGCTGTCATGCCGCCACAATGTTGAGTCATATCGTCAGGAAAATTTGGAGAATTACGACTTAAAAATATCGTAATTGTGCCGCATACCAAACCCGTCGAGAAAAATAGAACAGAAGACAGATTGAAAATTTGCGTGAACCCCTACGAATACATTTCAATTTTGCCCCTTGCGGATCGGGGTATTATCCGCTGCCCGGGTCCTATTTCCGACCTAATCCGCGTTTTGAGTGGGTATGGGTAAATACGAGATTTGGTTCGTTTCGTTTCCATGCTTTCCAACTTACCTGGGTATCTTCGCCGCCGTCTGAAGATTTTGCACACAGACTTGAAGATTCTTGAGGCTGATAATAACGAATCCATCTCTCCTCTTGGGCTGAACGAGTCTCACTGACTCGAGCAGTAGATCCTCCAAATCCTAGGTATTGCTTCGATATCATCTCTTATATCAATAGAACTGATGCGAATGTTTTTCGAATCCAGTTGCACTGTTGCAGCTATAAAATGCTAACCTTGTAGTTCAGCTAGTGAGAGAAAATCTGGAGACGGAGTTTTCGCTTCTTTATTGCAGTGAAAACAGGGGTTGATTGAACCACCAGCAGATCCTATGTGCGAAGTAGAAGGGAAGCAGAAACGGGCAAATTTTCGTCTTTTTTTTCCCGCTCCCTACATGATCGTCTGGTGTAATTCGTCTGCTGTCGGCCGAGCAGCCGAGGTAACTTATTCACATTGCATAATGTATTATGTTTCACCCATTTGCTGCCACGCTTCGGTGATAACTTCAATGAGGGAATTCGGAAATATAATATAGCTCTTTCAAATGTGTGTCATGATCGAGTTGGGAAGTCCACATTAACACCCTTACCTTACTTTTCAAGGCCCGTTTTTGAAGATTGAGTAACCAACTGGTGGATACATTAGATTTCTTCCCTGGGTGCCATCACATATGTGCTACAATCAGATATCTTCGCTCTTTGCAAAAGCTCCGAGAGAAAGATTCCACTTCACGGCTCGCGGGGGCTTCAATACCCGTCCTTTGAGTTCGGGGATCTTGGCAGCGTATACCATGAGAGTTCGATTGACTCTCAATCGCAGAGCTTCTAGAAAAGTATCTTAATGCACTGTTCTGTACTACGTCTACTTGAGACTTAGCGGATGCCGGATGTGTCTTGATACGGCTTGGGGCCACCCCCCCCTTTGATGAATGATAACCAACAGACCCAATTAGCCCCACCTATTTCTATCCACTAAGAAGCTGGCATAAAACTCCACCAGTATGGAAATTAAAATATAGTTTTCTCTCTTTGCAGATGCAAGCATTAACTTCCCGACCTTGTGGTAACGGCCCTTCAATGTCAGTCTTGCTATGTTTTCCAGACCGGAAGTGCGGACTGCGTTCGCCTAGCATCTCCCAAGTCGCCAAAGACTCACGCTTCGCAGTATCAAGGTACCCATTGGGTAGGTCGTAGCAGACCCACGCCATTTTTGGATTCGCATAATCCAGACCTGCCGTTGGGGAATGATTAGGAAATTGGTCTACCGGACGTTGCGGATGTGAATAGAGAAGGTGCAGAGAAGTTCAAGCCTCTCATTCCAAATTTCCAATGTTAAGAAATTCAAGGGTCAGCTCAGCTCTCTATCCATGAGTCGTATAAGTCGTTGTTGTACGCATATAGATGTACTATTCAATTATGACCTTGAACCTTCACACTATCAGGCTCAGGGTGCAAGTGGATTCCTTCTAGTAGTTTGGGACCCTTCTATCGGGAAGCACAATTCTTGGCAAGCTTCTTGACCCCTTCATCAACAAGAGTATCGTTGTTGGTAGATATTTATGAGGCTTGACCTGCACAGCTAGTCCCTTAGATGACCCAATCTCCCATATCAGCCAGCTATCAATATTAGAAATGGATGCTCTTGCGTCAATTATAGACACCGCTCCTTCTTGGAAATGCAATCGCGAATGATTAGGGTATGTGCTCTGCATCTGCAATGCAAATACTAGTTGAAACAAGGATGGAAACATTCCTACACTTCATCCCCACTATTCCCTCATGCCCTGGGTTACACAATTGATGCCCCTGAAAGACAGAACCGAAAATCATACTATCATTGCGCTAGTTCTCCCTCACAAAGGACAGCTCGAGGTGACTGGAGAATCTCCAGTGGAGATTTACAGTAATATCTAGTGTCAAATAAAAGTACACTGTCAGATCATATCATAATGTGTGTTGTTTCTGGACATCACCTCAGAGCTATGAATAATGTCATATAATGATCCCAAGCACTCGAAGGATGAAGACTACCCTCACAATATCCAGATCCTATCGTTCAAGCTATCGTCTAGTAAGTTAGCTTTGATACTATCGAATTATTGAATTCGTCGTGCAGATTATGGTATGTAACTGCAGCATTGATACTTTACTCTTTAGACGAGTGAACTTCAAGCTAGGACGTCAAATAATCAAGCAAACTCAAAACTTCGTAGTCTATTAGATGATCCGGATGGAAAGATGAAGCAAAAGATATGTCCACACGCTCCCGAGGTCTCTGGAGGCTATACCTCCAAGAGCCTAGTTTGGCCACGGTTAAGAGACGTAAAGTGTGTTGAATCTTGGAACTTTCACGTAGTCTCTCACACGGCATGCGCCACTTCCGCGGAGTTTCACCAGTGATCAAAATACTTGTTCCATCTTCTGTCATGTGAAAAGTATCGAGATTGCAGTGCAATGAACATGAAAATTCGTTGAAAAGGAGGAGAGTATTGGATGAAGTGAGATGTGAACCATGATGAGAGATTTGAGTTGCCGAAAACGAAAGATGCGGGAACAGCGATCTGCGATTTGTGTCATTCACAACATGCTAAGCTTACAGCCAAACAACTTGCCTTGATCATGAAGTCATTCTCCCAGCCGTGTTCAAGATTTTATTGATGTCAAGTCATGTAAACTTTACCCTCAGGTGTGTTGTTTGTTCAACATCCTACATCCCCATCTCGATTCCACTCACATATCCTTTCGTTTACACTCCCCTGAAACCTCAGATACACGATTGTAGATATCCCGTCAATCTTGGCACCCCCATCAAAGCAATACGGAACTGAAAGTTCATTTTCAGAAAATCTCAGTTCCGCCTCACTCCCAGATTACCTCTTCTCTCTAAAATCTGTCGAAAAAATGACGATTAGACTAAGAATGGTTTCGCCTTGATTTACTGACCCAAAGGCGCACGAGAATCTCCAGTCAACCTTCTTCACATGATATTCCATCAAACCGAAGATTATGGAGTCAGCTGGTGAATGGGACGGGTTATTCAAATGTCACCCATGAAATATAAATAAGGATAAGTAAATACAGTTGGATCATATCATTACTCAGTGTTATCTTAAAGAGCCATAGCTCTATTGCCCCCAATCTCAAACACAAAGACCTTATCCAACACCACCCAAGTAGAGCCATTGTGGGCTCCAGCGAACTACTTACTTGGAATTAGTACTTGCATATCAAAATGGGCAGAAACAGATTCCCAGTCAAGATGCAGAGTGCACGTACATGTGATGTCTCTAGCGGAACCCATTCCATATCCGAATGATCATCTGAAAATTCAAAGCAAATATAGTCTGGCTTCGGATGTTCAAGTGGCGGACAAGAACAGTAAGCTAAGGTTCTATGGGTAGATAGGTAGGTAGGTATTCAGAGTCACAGTTGCACTTGAAGTATCGTCTGATATAGTGAGGATGGTGCCCGTATTGTCGGTGTGCTTCTGATAGTCCTTCCTTGAGACACAATAACCTTCTTCTCTTCATCATCTCTTCTCTTCATCATCTCTTCTCTTCATCATCTCCTGTCTTCACCCTGCCTTCTTTCTTCAGCCCCTATTTCTCATCTAGTTATCCAGTCATATAATTCTCGTCCAAATCTCACTCTGTAAGTTTTGAAATCCTTTAGAAGGATATTACCCTTGTATCTTCTATTCCGTACATTTTCACAAATTTTTATCTATCTCATGCATGCAACTTCGAATCATCAGATCCGAGGTCATCATGAGTAGGAAGTTTGAGCTGTAGCCCTGGGAAAGTGCCGTACTTTGCTCTCCGATTCATATATGTACTTTATATAACCTTAGCGTGCATAGAGACATATGATGTCCGGTCTTGTCACTATAATATATCAACAGTATCTATCGCAAAATCATTGATCGACGGCAAAGTCCACACTCAAACTAGACTTAGACCGTTTGATATGCGTGGATTTTCTAATGTACATACAAGTTCAAGACTAACCCGTACCACTTTGCTATCATCTAGTAGCGGCCATTTTGATACATAGATGCAAATTCTGTGGTATCAGCAGAGAAACTCCCCAGTCCAATCAATTTGCAAACATTTTGTAACATAATTTACATTGACGCATTCATCATCACACTGGTGAAGTTTACCCACCACGATCTAAGAGTTGATCAACATGGCCCGGTATGCTGTGCTTGTTCATCCTCTTCTGCCCCTTCTTCTTCCCCCTGATTTCTCCATTTGTCTTCTTTCTCTCTCTTCTCTCCTTCTCGCATTTTGTTCTTCTGCAATCTCTCTCTTTCTCCTCTCCTCATAAGCAGCAGCTCTAGCCTTCGCTGATGCATCATCTGACTTTGCTCTTCTTTCTTTTGCACTATCAAGAACACCTTTTTTGGCGCTCTGGAACCCGTCCATTACATTTCCCAAACTGCCATCTAACGAGAATCTCTTTGTGGGAATAGCCTCTCCTCCAGATCCTGGAACCTCTCTCATCCTTAGGGTACTTTGGGGTGTTGATAGGTTCTGGGTTGGGATAGGAGTCATGTTTGCCCAAGATCGGAACTTAGGGTTGCGGAAAAGTGTGGCCTGGCCAAAGGAGAAGGAGGAAGATACCAAGAACGATAATTGAACAGCAGCGGGCATAAATGATGTGAAGAGCATAGAGAGGAGAGGCATACCCCATAGCATCGCAGTCACCATTCCGGGTGTGAGATTACTGACACCGGTATCTCCACCTTTCTGTTATGGCCCCAATTAGCTCGTCAAGTCTTCATGGGCAGCGTTCAAGGGGGTGGGAACCAGCAGAATAGAATACAAAAACCTGAACTAACCTTCAAAACGAAATGCAAGATTCCACTTGTAGCCAATGGCAATAAGAAATAAGGATCTGGAATACTTAAATTGTAGAACCACAAAATTCCTCCGTCCAAGAGCCCCGGAACAGGTACATCAGACATCTGCCTCAACAATTTCCACGTTCCGTATCCAATGAAAATCTGTACTGCCGGCACAAAACTTTTCCAAATCGAAATCCCCGCGCGCTTATGTATGCGCTGTAATTCTGCTCTATGCAACATCATCTCCGCTGTGTCCCCCTTCTTTTTCGCCTCCATCATCTGAGCCTGGACGGGAGCAGTAAAATCTTTGATTGCAGCCATTCGAGATGCATTCTCGGCGGCATCGAGAAAGGGCTTGATCAAGATAATCCTCCATGCGACAGCCGCAAGACTGATGGATACCCACCAGGGAGTTCCGGCAAGGACGTGGATATGCTCCAGCATCCATTCCGTGACAGCTGTGGGACCCCATCCATAGTCAAGACCAAGAGAGTGGAGGTAACCAATGTGTTCGGGTGCGGAAAGAATATCAGCATTGATATCCGGGGTGACATCGAGCGGGGTAGGTCTGAACTCGGGTGTGGAGGTTTCGACTGAGGGGATCGAGGAATTCACAGGAGGTATGGCGGAGGGTGTGGTTGATGCAAAACGTATGGATGTGGCATTTCGAAGCAAGGTATTGGGTTTTGAGAGGGACGATCGAGTAATTGACTGTGAGAATAATGTGCTGTTGCCTTTATTCGAAAGATGTGTATTATTTCTAATGGGTCGATGTACATTTGAAGAGAACTTGTAGAAATCAGTGACGTTCCATTTGTGCTTAGTCCTGCTATGAGAAAAGTAAATACCTGTCTAATTCCATATGATTCAATCCGCCGTCTACCTAGAGCCACCGCCTGGTTTGAACACCTCAACGCTCTGCTGGGTATCATTTTATTATATGTGGATGATGATGGTTATTTCTTCCCCTCGCCAGTCGAAGTCAGTATCGCAAAAATTATTGATCGCGAAAACTCGCATAACTCTCTGCATAAAATGGATAACATTTTAGTGCATTCCTGGTTAGTTTATCACTGGGTAGGTACCTAGGTGATCTAGGTACAACAATCACGAACCACAGTCATGATCTAAGGAATCTAATGTTTAGATATTCACTCGTAGAATTATAGATTTGGGCTTGCTGTGCATGGAATGATATATCTGCGTGGTAAATTTATGAGTTTGTGGCACGTTGTGATATGGGCTACGGATAGATTGATGAACGATCAGTTTTCACCCAGTTCTCTTAATCGTTTTCCATGAACCGGCAACAATCACATCTATGTGTTGTTAGATCTCCCCAATAGCTCTGCTAAATTTGCTTGAGTTTGGTGCATCTCCCGATCTTGAAATGCTCTCTATGCCCTGTTTGCTCTTCTTTCCAGAAAAGAGTTGGCCATAACTCTCAACGCCATTATCTTGTATACGTTTTATGTCTTCTTTCCTTCATTCCAAGCTTGTCAGGTCGTCTAAGTTGCCTTCTCTGCTCTTGCGTTCAATTGGACTATCTCTGACTTCAATCCCTGGTCCTACAGATCTTCGTGTGAGAGGGAAGACCTACGTAAATAAAGTCATTAGCACAAATCTTCGAATACAGTGATATAATACACGGCCTCTCCAATGCGAAGAACATAACTATATATTGCGTACTTTTGAACTTATTGACGAGAAGAAGAATAAAACAGTCTTACCTTTGTGTTACTCCATCCCAACCTGAATGCAGCCTCATGGGCGAATAGCTCTCCAAATCCCAGCATAAGTCCATTCACAAATGGCAAGACAAGATTGATCGCAGCACCTCGAAGTAATCCCCAAATTGTAGGAGGAGAGTAAAGAATCATCTGTGGAGAGTCTGATGAAGGTGGTGAAGGAGAAGTTTCATCTTCATTGCGAGAATATTGCTCTGAGTCGGAGGGCATCGTTATCCCGGATTCAACAAGAGGGTTGAGCTGTTCGTCTGAAGACATTTTTCGAAATGACAGGTATCACTTCAAGGAGCACAATAGATTCTGTTCCGTACAATCTCTTAATTGTAGGTATTGGTATGTCTGATGTGCTGAAGAATCTGGGGGCTTGACAATGTCGTTGCTTCCTACGATGATTTTGGTATCACGGAGCATGATAATCCCATGCCGACCGAAGCTTTGACGATTTTTCTTATAAATGTGGAAGAATCCAGCCCCGCCAAAAAAGAACGTCATCCCAAGCTGCCTCGTTGGTTTGTTTCTCTCTATAACATTTCACCATCAAACTACAAAATATTTTATGCTTTCACGGGAAATCTTGTTACTTCTTCAAAATCAGCTTACGTTTTAGTCAATTAGCTATCTCGAGGAACATCGCCTCCAATACTACAAAACAATCATGGCAGACACCAGTAATCATGATGAGTTGATCTCTCAATTTTGCGCAATCACCAATGCTTCCCCATCAGAGGTATGATCATAGACGCAGGGAAAACCCTCCAAAATCATCATGTTTTTGACCATCGAGATTGATCTGATGTCGCTGACTCTCTTTGTCTTCTTAAATTATAGGCTCAACAATTTCTCTCCGCAAATCAATGGGACTATGCATCAGCTATGACAGAATTCTTCACTGCTCAAGAAGAAGGAAATACAGGAGCCTCAGAACCAGTCGGTAGCAACGATCAAACCGAAGCTCCATCACCGTATACTGGACCCCGAACACTCGATGGTAGACCTGCTCCCGATAATGGCAAGAAACCTGCAAAACCAACTGCCACAGCCGGGAGAGCTGGAGGACGTGGAGGCATCGCAACTCTTGGGTCTTTAAATCAAGGATCTTCGAGCCATGGGGATCGTATGAACGATGCCGATGACAGTGATCCAGATTATGAGCCAGATGAACAGCCAAGAGACTTGTTCGCTGGTGGTGAAAAGTCAGGACTAGCTGTCCAAGATCCCTCTAGGAAACCCGACGCGAGAAAGATTGTTGGTGATATCCTTAAGCAAGCTAAAGCGTGAGTTTTCCTTTTCAAAGATTTGTAGACTACATCCTTACTTAAAATATACAGAAATTCTTCAAGGGAGACTGGAGAGCCATCTACACCAGCCGCAGCCGCACCATCTCGATTTCGTGGCAGTGGTCAAACTCTCGGCGGCGATGATGCTCCTTCTCAAGTAATTCCCGATCCTCATCCTCCTGCAGCTTCTTCTGAGCTTGTGACAAGAATTCTACACCTTTGGGAGGATGGTTTCAGTGTTGAAGATGGGCCACTTCGTCGATTCGATGACCCGGCAAACGCGCAAGATCTTCAGGCAATACAGAGTGGTCGTGCTCCTCTGCACTTGATGAATGTTAGACATCTCCAACCAGTCGATGTTCAGTTGCACAAACATGATGGACCTTACAAAGCTCCCCCTAAGGTCTACAAGCCTTTTGGTGGCTCAGGTCAGAGACTTGGTAGCCCTACACCGGGCGGCTCCAGCACTCCGCCGGCATCCGCCCCAGCGCTTGCACCTACTACCGCCTCGACAGCAACCCCAGAAGTTCAGGTCGATGAGTCACAACCAACACTCACCCTCAGACTTCAGTTGGCAAATGGAACTCGTCTTCCAGCTCGATTCAACACTACGCAAACTGTAGGTGATGTATATGACTTCATTGCAAGAGCAAATGCCGGTAGCAATGAGCGAGCTTGGGTACTTGCAACCACTTTCCCAAACAAAGAGCATACCGAGAAGAGTCAGGTCTTGGGTGAGATGCCAGAATTTAAGAGAGGCGGTACAGCCGTGCAGAAATGGGTTTAGAGGGTGTGTAGTTGGATCTGACAGGAGCGTTTTAGAAATTCGCGAAGCAGCGAAATCAATTACGATGAAGCTTTTACTTGCTGGCTACGGCCAGAAGGCGTTTAAGGAAGTTTGGGAGCACATACATAGCATTTTTTTTGAGGCATAGATAGCTGATTCGTCTAACCGCAATGATAGACGGAATGATTTAGCGCTCTGAAGAATGCCGATGTGAATATCATTGATATTGAGTGAGATTTCATAAGTAGAATCTACAGCTACTGCAGAATTGACATTGTATTGTAGTTATCTGACCATCATCATACTTGGAATGTATGCATGCATACTTCGCAATCTTAGTTTGTGCATTGTTTTGGAGAATATAGCAAGTCATTTGAATCGATAATAGCTAGTAGATGTCTCCACTCCACCATGGTCTCGAATTATCGATATCGATTTATGTAATCAAGTGGTAAATGAAGAATTCAGAACTGGAAATAAAAAAAGTGGAGATTGAGACCCTCTCCGAATGCTCCGTCTGCAAGCCAACGCACTGATCGACAAATTAATACGGGCCGAGAAGAGAAGGGCTTTCGATCGATCCCCCAACTTTGGGGGTGGATGGATGGGTGAGAACTTAGAAGGGATGTTTGGGAGAGAGGTTGGAATTTGGGAGGGAGGTGTAGAGAGGTGTAGGGGATAGATGGGTGGAGTGTACGATGAGGGGTTTGTTGAGTTGGAAAGAACTTGGACGGTACGGTGTACAGAGCAGCGACGCGGGAGAGCACTAGGTGATGAAGTGAAGTTGAGAAACAAACTCCAGAGCAAGGAGAGGAAAGAGAGAATACATGCAACAAAATATTACAATCAATGCAATCCGCCTTGCAGTACCTAGGTGGTATGTAGTATTTACAGCAAGAATCCAATGGTCTCGTATCGCATGTACCGGACCGGTCGGTCGGACAAACGTTCACATGCTCGCTTGGCTTAAGCCACGGCTGGGACTAGAAGACTAGGTGACTGGGCTTGCATTGATGGCTTTGGCTGGAAGGACGGACTTGGATATGTGATCTTCAATCTAGTGGTCTAAGGTTTTTATTGTTTAGGTAGGGAATGTTGTTTTGATGGATGGATGGATGAGTGGATGGGTGGTGGGTGGTGGGTGATTAATTGACTGATTGACTGATATATTGACTTATTATTGGTATCTATCTATCTATCTATCTATCTATCTATCTATCTACCTATCTATCAGACTTTGTGTGAAAGTTAAATAATTTAACTTGTCCAAGGTTACTTGCAAGTGATCTCGTTGCTTATCTATTTCCCATCCTTACATGTCTTTCCTCTGCTGGGAAATTCAGGGGGTGCGAGATAAGGAATTGCAGGGCAAGCTTGACTTTCCCAGTTTCAAGGGCCGGAGAGGCAGTTTATGACCTAGTCAGTAGTACAAAGTAGTTGATCAAGGTACGAACGAATCACGGTGACAGGGAATTTCACTGGAACATTTGATCATCTACCATTCGGCCCTGGACCAGTCAAATGGATCTCGAATGCACTTTAACTGGACGTTCACTCTGTGCCAAGGCTCAAGGGATTGGGGACGGGCTTCGAATGACTCTGTGCCTGGTCGCGTCTCTACCCATCATGATTCATTGTGTTGGGAAAGTATAATGCTGTCTCGACTGTGTAGGAATTAGGGGTCTCTGTCACAAACACCATGGACTTGGAATACCGCCAGTACGTACCTGGGTAATGGACATCTTCTCCTGCTTTGCTGGTGTAGTGAGACTAGAGTGAGACGGGAGTGGAGGTTCATACACTTTTGAGGATAGAATGCAATGGAATTGAATTGACTCTCGATATGTGATGATATGATACAATATGCGAACACAATGTATAATACAATCAATCCGATCTGATACCTCCCGACCTACAATTATCCCGTGTCACACACTTTTATTTATTTATTTATTTATTTATTTAATTCTCACAATGAGGGACAACCCATCAAGCCACTAGACCTATCTAAGTACCATCCCTTGCGGTAGCATGCGCACACCTCGCACATCCCTAGTGCCCATATGACGTAGTTCTCACAGAAACCCGACCGCCGCCAAGAAGGAGACGAACGGGCAAAAGAAAAGAAACGAGAGAAAAAAAAAACTTCACTGCATTCGGGAATCGGGTCGAGATCTAGAACCAATCAAGAGAAGTCAGAGATGGGATATTTATGGAAACGCCCCCGATTGAGTAGATGGTGGAATTTGGTTTGATGATTAGATCTTCCTATCAAATTTCAATATTCGATATCTGCTAGGTGGGTAGGTAGGTAGGTAGGTAGGTAGGTATGGAGGTAGGGTAGGTAGATAGGTAGATACTTTGTATGTACTGTGTACTATGTACTATGTATGTTTAAAGGCAAATCATAAAATTCCAATTTTTTAATTTCTATTTCTATTTCATCTCTATTTCTCTTTCGGTTCCTGTTCCTGTTTCGGTCCATATCTATATCCATTTTCATATTCATCTTCACATCCAATTACTTAATCATTCAATCCCTTCCCTTCCCTCCCCTTCCCTCCTCCATTCGTTACATCCTCCACCTCTCTTTCTCCACTGTCAACGAATCTATCTCCACTGTCATTGTCAGTTTCACGGTCACTTCCATCGTCGTCATCACCATCATCTCGTCACTCTCGCTTTGGTCCCTTTTCTTGTTTCTCTCTTCTTCCTCCTTCGTATATACTTTCCCATTTCTTTTTCAATTCCCCATATATTCTTCATAACTTCCCATCGCCTCGTCGAGAACGTACGATCGTCAACCAAATTTGATCAGATCGACCTTGGGACAAAACGTCTCGCATCATTTCCGACGCTCTCAACTCCATTTAATCTACCCACGGAGATTTCAATCCTTGGATTTGAATCACCTTTATCACGTCAAGATCCCTCACAGATCAGTGATTGATCGAATCCCCTTATCTTCGATGAGATCGTGAGGTTGATCTTGGGCCCAGTTTTGTAAACAGATCTACCCCGTAATACGACTTTTGGGAAATCTGTTCAACGTTTCTTCAACTTCAGATCAACATCCCGATATCATGTCGACGCCAATTCAGGAGAAGGAACAATTCTCCTTCCCTGCATTTCCAGCCGATCCTCACCACACTCACCATCAGGAACCTTTTCGCCAGGAACGTCGCTCGTCTGATGAAGATGGAACTTTGGGAGATGAACATCCATACGAATATCATCATGACCATCATGACCATCAAGATCAACACGTCGACAACAATCACTTGAGGGTTGCCACGAGTTTTTCCCATGACCCGGAATACTTGAGCAAAAGAGATCAATCGCCTTTGTCTGCCGCTGCACAAAGAGAGCAGTCACGGCGACTTGACGATGACCTTGAAATGCTTCGTGTAGAACGTGTGATATCGAATGAAGAAAAGGGTGATGGCAGCAGTATGGGTAGATCAATGAGGTCGAGATCTAGGGGGCCTAATAGAGAACCTATTGATGATTTCGACGTTGATACTACCCCGATTCACGAGAAGACTAAAATATACAGACCACCAGCACATCCGGCCACAGCACTTGCAAAGTTCTTTAAGAAGGTTCACGGCTCTAGTGTCTTAGTTCGATACTTTGTCTACATCACGCCGTTGACGTTGCTACTTTTAATCCCCGTTTTATTTGGGCTCTTTCTTTTTAAAAGGGCTACGGTCGGAGGTGTTAAGCTCTTCTGGTTTGGTATTTGGTTAGAAATTGTTTGGTTGACATTATGGCTTGCAAGAGTAAGTGATCACAAGATACTTTGCAAATCAAAACCTCGCTAATTACCCCTGAATAGATTATTGCCAAATGCATTCCTTATCCAATGGGTCTTGTTTCTAGCTTATTCACAAATAATAACAAGAAATGGAGAGATCTAGGGAAATCACTAGAGGTACCAGCAACTCTGTTCTTTTGGTGGCTGGCTGTTGAAATTTCCTTTCTCCCAACCATGAAGAACCACCATCTTAATGGAGACAGGACTACTCGCAGCTGGGAAAATACCTGCAACAAGATCATTGTATCTGTGCTTGTCGGAGCCACCTTGAACTTCGTCGAGAAGATCATCATTCAACTCATTGCCATTAGTTTTCACTTGCGAACATACGCCGATAGAATCGAGATCAACAAATTTCAAATTCAGAGTTTGGTCAAGTTGTACAAGTATTCCAAGGAAAAGATTCTCGAGAAAGATGAGGATTTCGAGGACCGTAGTGGGAACGCAGGTGTTAAATCGGGGGCTCGTACTCCAATGGCTTATGTCAACAAGGCTCAGAAAAACGCGAAGAATGTCTTTACCAAGGTTGGTGATGTAGCTGGTAAGGTGGCTGGAGATTTTACGGGAAGAGCTGTCACATCAAGTACTCATCCACATCAAGTGTAAGAATCCCCATGGCTATAGACTCTTACTAAGCTAATTGTATACTCTAGAATTCTTCAACTTCTTAACACGACAACCGGATCTCAAGTACTTGCTCGAAGACTTTACCGAACCTTTGTGCACGATGACATGGAAACCATTCTGGCAGAGGATCTAACACTAGCTTTTGATAACGAAGAAGAAGCGGAGGCAGCATTTGCCATGTTCGATAAAGATTTGAACGGTGACATCTCGATGGAGGAACTCGAAACAGTTTGTGTTGAAATTGGACGAGAACGAAAAGCGATCACCGCTTCCCTCAAGGATCTGGACTCAGTCGTCAGCAAACTCGATGATATACTCTTGTTCATCGTTGTAGTCATTACCATTTTGGTATTCATCTCTTTGATTTCTACTTCTGCATCTGGTGTCTTGACATCAGCTGGTTCGTCTGTCTTGGCTCTTTCTTGGTTGTTCACCGCAACTGCTCAGGAGTTTCTGCAATCGATCATCTTCGTTTTCGTCAAGCATCCTTTCGATGTTGGTGACCGAGTTACGATTTACGGAAACACTGGATCCAAGTTACAAGGAGATGATTATTTCGTCAAGGAAATTTCGCTTCTCTTCACCGAATTCAAAAAGATGGAAGGTCATGTTGTACAAGCCCCAAACAGTTATCTCAACACCCTCTTTATCCTGAATCAGCGTCGTTCAGGAGGTCTCGCCGAAGCTGTTCCCATCACAGTCAAATTCGGCACTTCCATTGAACAACTCGAGCAACTCCGCGAAGAACTCGTCAAGTTTGTTAAATCCGAAAAGCGCGAATACCAAGGCAAGATTATCACCGAAGTAACAACCATTTACGAAAACTACTCCATCACCTTTAACGTCGTCTTCTTCTACAAGTCCAGTTGGCAAAACGAATTATTGCGTCTCCAACGTCGCAACAAATTCATCATCGCCATGATTTGCGCAATGGAAGATATAGGAATCCAAGGTCCACGCCAACGTCTCGCAGGTTTCACTCAAGAAAACCCCGTTTTCCTCAATGGCGCCTATCCACCTCCCTACAACCCCAACCCCGACCCCTCAGATTTAGGATCCGGACCCGGTCCCCGCTCGGGATCTCTCGCCCGCGATAACCCACACATGGGCGAATACGAACCTCAAACCGGAGCCCAGCACGCCCCAGGCGTAAATACACACCCCTCCATCCTCCGCCGTCGCACCTCGGGCTCCCAATCCAACGCCCGTCGCCGCGGCGAATCCCTCTCCGCAATGAACAAACGCGTCGACTTCTCCCTCGGCATGCAAGGCATGTCCTCCGGCATGGACCTCGGCGACGTCTTCGACGACAAACCGCGCGTGCGCATCCCCGACGTAACCTTCACCTCTCCCTCTCCAGGCCCACACTCGCGCCCCAGTCGCGAAGGCCAATCCCGGGAAGGACAATCGCGAGACCGCGAGGAGAGTCTCGCGCGCCAATCGACGCGGGAATCCCGCGACTCGCAGCTCGCAAAGGTGACTTCGGCCAATAGCACGCGTACCCATCGCAATCGATTTTTCTCGCGTGGCAGAGGGAAGTTTTCCGGGGGTGGCGGTCCCGTCGATGAGGACGGGACGAGTTTGGATGAGTTGGAGGCGGGGTTGCATTCGCAGGGGAGAGATATTCACAGTAGCGAATTGAGAGATATACCCGAAGCATCGGGATATTCGACCGCGAATCCGAGTCCAGGGGGGAGAATTGATCCGCGGTCCGGCGTGGTGAGTTCGCAGGCGGTGCAGAGTGATGGTGGGAGGGAGAGGGGAGAATTACCGACGGTGGGGAAGATTGGGGGACCGCCTCGACGGGCTTTTACGGGGATTTAGGTTTGGCTCGGTTTGAGACGGAGAGAGGAAAGAAGGAAGAGGGATTGTGTATAGTATATAGGGACTCGAGAGGAGAGGCGAGGAGAAAAGAAAGTCGGATTCATGATATTTAGCGGGTGCGTGCATATAGACGGAAGATGGTATTTGATTACGAGCAAGCGAGCGTCGAGCATAGATAGCGAGGAACGAGATTAAGAAGAAGTCTAGTAAGGAAGAAATCCTACAGACGGGTAAATTCATGATGGATGGATAAATGGATGGATGGATGTATTAGATGATTTTAGCATTGGCATTGGCATTTGCCTGGTATGATAGACGATAGAGAGAAGACACTTGGGTCAGGTCAGGTTAGGTAAACAGGGGCCTCGTACCTACAGAGCTTATAAAAGTAATGAATTATCTTAATTTCCACCATTATCACATTTTCAATTAACTCAACTGACTTGACACGCCACACACTAGAAGAATGCAAATCGACTTCATAGGCAGCCGACACAATCACCTCAAAATCAGAATGCCATCGTAAATAAATAAAATAATCCATTGCATTTTTGATATCTTCGTAATGAACCTGGGTAGCTGCCAAAAGAATACACAATACTAACAAATACACTCAACGGATTCCGTTCTGAGCCGATATGCTTTCCTCTACTCCTCAACTACGCTAATCCACTATGCGCATGTGCAAAGAAACACGAATAAACCAATCCCCATTCCCTCAAAGTAGAAGATAACACACTCAAGAAAGCGTAGAAAACCGAAACCAGACAGACAAATCATCTCAATCGCGTAGTGACCTATCATCCATCGAAAACACCTTGTCAACACCTAATTCTAACGCATCAAAAGCGGAAATAAAATCGAAGCCAATATTGTCTGATCATGATTCTCATCTCTCGTAATACGTGCTTAACAAGCCAGTCAACAACTCAATCCTGTTTCGAAGTTTATGGCCTAGAAATCCCAGAAATCACCACCAGTAGCTTTTTGATTTTGGGCTTTGCCAGGGCGACCATTGCGGAATTTGCTTCCTACACCATTGAGGCCACCTGCTTCCTCTCCATCAGAATCGTCTCCAAAGCCCCATCGTCTGCCTGCACCTTTGCTACCGCCCATTCCATCACCCATTGTCTTGATGCCAACATTTTGCTGGTTGCGCTTAGAAGTCGTGTTGATTTCAGACAATGGCTCCTTGGTAGGATTGGAGCGACTTGGCGAAGAAGGATCATTCTCCTTTTTGGCATTCTTCTCAATAGGTGATTCATCGTATGTATCCCAGTTAGCGTCCATCATCTTCACAGCCTTGGCCCTATCTCCTGCCATGTGAGTAGGAGCCTGTCCAGTTACTGGCGACTCATCAGCCATGCTGAAATGATCAAAGTCCTTGGTTCTGTCCTTAGCATTTGCGAGACCTGTAGTTTGTTTCTTTGACACTGGGGTATCACCTCCATTCTCACCAAATAGAATGTCTTTGTAGAGCCCAAGTCCATTGTTGTGTCCATGCCCACGAGGGTTTCCAACGATACGACGATCTTTTTGAGGGGTGGCATCGTCTTGGAACTCAAAATGAGTCTGAGCATCCTTGCGAGGTTTTTCGGCTTTCTTGAATTTGACCGGGCTATCTAAGACTTCATCATCACTGTTACCCCAATGACGAACTTCAGCTGCGCGAAGAACTTTAGTAGGAACAACCTTTTGCGGTGTTTGGAAATCATCAAAGCCCCATTGACTTTGATGTTGACCCTTGCCACCCTTGCCAGTTGGCGGTCGAATGGATTCCTCTTCCTCGGGGCCATCGGTAATATCGAAGTGTTCATACCTAGCTGGATTTGGGCGGTACATGGGGTCCTTCGACTTCTCGTGGATAGGGCTATCTGGGGTGTTTTCATTCTCATCGGCATCGAAAAGTCTAGATGGTGCGAACTTCTTGGCGGCGCCTGCTTTTGGAGGGGAAAGGACATCGTCTACAGTCGAGGAATTTTTGTTAACAAAAAGATCATTATAGTCCCGAGGTGCTGGCCTTGCGGATACACTGGTTGGTACTTCGGCCGGACGGGACTTGGATCCAATATCTTCACGGGGAGCAAACAAGGAAAGGCTTGCGTGCGGGTCGCGCAATACATTATTGGAATTACCTCTGGCGCGAGCGAGTGGATCCACGTTCGAAGAAGCATCTAACGTACCAGTATTTTTGACGCTTGATGCGATGAGCTTTATCTGATCCTTTCCATCCCGGATTGGCCAGTTTCGTCCAGTCTTTCCGATAACATCAATCAATTTAAGAAGTGATCCCTGGTCCCAGTTTTGTCGAATTTGTTGGATCTTTCCGTTGGCATCGAAACTTACGATATGGATCTGCCATTATTAGTATGCGGGTAGATTCAAAACAGACAGGACCAGACTTACGATTGGAAAGGTGACTGTGCGATCAGCGAGAAAGTTGTCATCCAGTCCAGGTAGATAGGATCCTCCCGATGTCTTGAATTCAATGGTTGTGTGGATTTCTGCGGCGATGGAGGAGTTTCCTTCAACGGTATTTAGGAAGGTTTCCTCTTTCTTCTCGAGTTGATGGTTCTGTCCATTTAAATGCTTGACAATATCAGAAGCTCCATGAACAGTGACCAAAGTTGTAATGAAATGAAGGGAAGCATCAGCTGTGAGTAAGGAGGGGTTGGGGGAAGCTAGAAACTGCTTATAAGCAGATTGTAGTGACATTTTTGAAATTGCGATGGTTTCTGATGAAATACACAACAGATGCAGGTTGATGCAAAGAAGAAAGTTGTGGTCGACTATGAGGGAAGGAGATGTCTCAGATTACGTGAACCTCAAGGAAATTCGGTAACGTATTGTTGTTGGTAAGCTATGGATATGAGGAGGGGAGGTTTTGTGGAAGAGGAGAGGAGGAAAAGGAAGGAAGATAGATGGATGGATGGTTGTATGTTTACAGATTCGCGACTTCTGTTGTAATAATTGTTGCCGCGTAGCTTTATTTTATTTTGGTGAATACAGTTTCGCCAAACAATAACAAGTTTTTTCATACGAACATTAATATTCGATGTATAAGTATATGTATATGTGTTGCTTTTTATTACTCTTTCAATCATATGTGTTATATACTCGTACTCGTAAATACAAGATATACACATACATACAACATAGGTGGGTAGGCAAGGGTCTTGAAGATTCAGGGGAATTTAACAAGGCTGTGAGGGGATCATTTGATTAATCAGGATTGTTTGTTTATATTAATCTCTGGCCAATCAGATTTAGTCTTTCATGCTACACTGCCTTAGCAACGGTACTACTGCACGTCAAATCTACCAGGGCAGCTAAAGGAATGCTCTCTTATGTTTCAGAGCTGCGAATGGACTGTCTTGAGACTGTGATGAAATCAAGACAATCGTGTGCGGAACGGAGTATATAGAAAGACTCCGAACAATCTAGTAGTTTGAGGTACTTGAGCGACAGCCTCTCCTATACGATTATAGATGGAGTATTTCTCAAATTATATCATAAATACGGAGTGCACTCAGAGGACACTCATTGTCGCTGTCTGAGAGAATGACATGAAATAACATCCATTTATCAAAACTCACATCGGGTGACTGCTATCGTTCTCACCCTGATAGGTGCAGTTTCAGCGCGAGATGTACAATGAAGATGCAGGGAAGCAAGCTCATGATCATTTTTTATAGCATTATATTTCTGATCAACTCTGACTCCACTATCGAGTAAAATCAACATGAGAGTAGAAGAAGCCTATTATAAGCTAATGGCTATCTATCAAAGTGAGTAGACACGAAGAATTATCTAGGGCGTATTCAGATCGTTTAGTTTCTAATGCCACACTAAACATGTTAGAAATGCTATTGATCTAGGTAAACTTCATATGTTATTTGTTAAACACAATATTGAATTTTATCCATATCAATCAATTCAGATCATTGTATTTATCGAATATGATATTGAATACAATAAAATTACAAGTTTAAAACGTTGATCTAGTTAGCGTCTCTGAATAATAAGGGGTTCTTCCATCATCTCCCCCAAAACTGCAATGGCCCATTGTTTAGACTATATGTCTTTGCCTCACTAAGTGGCACATCATTCCCGTCGTCATCTGCGGGCGAGGCAGTGATCGGGATATCGTTTTATCCTCATTGCCAATGACTTTCACCTCGAGACCGAAATTCCTCGGATCCAAAGCATCAAAGATGGTATTTGTGGTGGCATAGTTGGCAGCGGAGTTATTATTGTTCCGGTCGAGCTTCAATGCGAAGAGAAGTGGTCTATCTTGGCCGATGACAGAAGGTTGGTCACCCGTTAGAGTAGGTTGAGTAGTGGTGTTGGTGTCGTTATTGTTGTTTCCCGTCGGAAGCTCTAGAAGAATGGGCCCACCTTCTCTGCATGAGTTATCGGTAGAGGAATCTAAAATAGAGACCACCGTGAATGTTGGAAGACGAGAGTGAGAAGGGACTCGAAATAGACAGGTGGGGTTTTGACACGATCTTTAGGTTTTTAATGATGTGAGATACTATGGCTTTGCATACTCTCCCTCTAAATTCCCTTTCTCCCTTTTCCCTCTACCCCGCAGTACCACCATTCAGTATCACATGGCTTGAAATGCTTCAACCCTCTCAAGCCTCATACTCAGCATAGCTGTTAACAAAGACGGAGCGAACATAAATCCAGAATGTGGCGCATAATTCCATAAAATATTGTTTCATCGATCTAGAAAGGCTTCGTTTGGTCGCTGGTTCAGACGCTCGCTGTTAGCTATCGAACCATTGCCCAATAAATGGCAATCGGGTTGACTGAAGGAATTGGAAGCATAAAATCAATTAATCTAATACTCACCCATCCAATCAGGCACATACACATTTGTGATTTTCGTCTCGTATCCCCTTGACGAAATAAATTAGTCCTCTTGTGAACTTCCAGGACAGCTTTCCATAGAAAAATGGCGTCTCACCATAACCACCCCAGTAACGTACAGCATAGAAAGTATTGTGATCATAACTATATCATGAAACACATGAATCGCTATGTCAAACTTCACCAGAAGATTTCGAAGCTGTTAAGAAACACTATCTCATTCAGACAACTTTGTCTACTCAGACTTCAGTGCGCCCTTCTATTTCCCTCTCACATCCTTCCATTCTCTTCTTCTATCATTCTCTCTCCACCTCATCTTCCTTTCCAAGCCCAGTTCGATCATACTCACGTCAATCCCTTGATATTCTGGCGCAGATCATTGAGAATCGTCTTCCAACTACGAAATGACCAGTTATTAAGATTGAAAACTTCTAGGTGCTCATGGTTACATGGTGATGGTGTTTGATCCGTCAACATTCTCAATCCCTCAGTCCCTCCATCGCCGGCACCGAACAGTCAACGCAGTGGTATCTCAGGCCATCGTCTGTCTCTCCCATCAAAACATAGGTGAAGCTCCACCAACACCAATATCTAATAATTGCCGCTCGAGTAAAGTACCAAGCGATCCGTCAAGTAGTCATAAGTATTGACTTTCAGCAAAAATCGCCTGTCTCATATCGTCTGCACTCGCAACGATGTGATCTTCAGAACTAAGGCTTTTGTGCATTGGAAAAGGAATTTGTCATGTGTTAATTGATACACTACTCGACGACTCGTCTGTAACCAAATTCTCTCTACGGCAGTATAATAAGCTTCACGGCATGTTCTCCGAAATGAGAAAATGAGAAAATGAATTTGGTACAGCATAGAGATTAGATGTTCCTGGGTAGGCGAGGTAGGCTCTACGTAAGCGAAAAAACAGGCGGAAATTGAGTACCTTTCAAAGGACTTTTGTAATAGATTATAAATTCATTTCAAATTAAATATTGAAATTTGAAAAAAGCAAACGAAAATTTGAGTCTTCTTTGTATTGATTTTAAGTTGTTTTATTATTTAATAATATATCGAAAACAGATCTTAGTTGTTGAAGGTCTTTCGAATGGTGGTCAATTTCCGCCTGTTTTTTTGCTTACGTAGAGGTAGGTATGTAGGTACTCTCGTTGGCTTAGTCTAGCCCATAAAATATCCGAGCTTATCAGTAGCCTTCCTCCCTTCCAGAAGCTCCCCGGCTACCCCACCTCAAGCTCCATCTCCTTAACAACCATCACAACCTCAGCCTTGAGCAGTAATACTGTATAAACTTGAACGTTTTCTTACACAATTCCACTGTGCTAAGTCAATCAAGGTAACTTTATTGATCATGGTATCTCAAAAGATAGCGGAAGCTATGCAGCAAATTGCAAGCTCAGAGGAAAAACAACAAGGCTACACTACCCTTCTTTCAAACGCTCAATTTACATCTACACCAGCAGAGTTACCTGACGACTTAATCGCCATTTTCGATGCCATATTTGCAGATGCTTTAGGCATAGTTGCTACTCGATCCGTGATCGTATCGTTTGTCGATGCGCTCAAAGCCATAAACAATAATGAAGCCAAGATTCAAGTTGGTCAACATGCTTTATCGACACTTGGTGAACAAGCATCCTCATTCGAAGAACAAAATGCGCAAATACGTGAGCTGATGGCCACAGCGTACGAAGACGACGAAGATAACCTTGCAGCTGCCAAAATATTAGCTGGTATCGTTCTGGAATCATCGCAACGAAAAGTCACAAATGAGGAGAAAGTTCGTTGTTGGATTCGTATTACTCGCAACTATCTCGAAGTGGACGATACAACGCTTGCAGAGCAATACCTGAACAAAGCTAAGAACGTCATATATACAGTCGAGGACCGTGATCTGAACCTGCACTTTCAACTCAGTCAAGCACGTATCCACGATGCTAGGAGGAATTTCTTAGCCGCTGCTCAAGGCTACCAGGATATTAGTTTCTTGCCTGTCATCGCCGAGGAAGAACGTTTACACACTCTCAGTATGGCCATTAAGTGTGCTGTCCTGGCGCCTGCTGGCCCCCTTCGAAGCCGTGCTTTAGGCAGATTGTATAAAGATGAGCGAGCTGCTAGTTTAGACGAGTTTAGTATCTTGGAGAAGATGTTCCTGGATCGCTTACTGTCTCCCGAAGAAGTATCTAAGTTTGCAGAAGGCTTGGCTACACATCAACTTGCAAAAACCTCAGATGGTACCACTGTCTTGCAAAGGGCAGTTGTAGAGCACAACTTAAGAGCTGCGTCGAGATTATACAACAATATTCGCTTCGAGGCTCTTGGAGAGATATTGGATCTTGACGGAGACAAGGCCGAGGAAACTACCGCAAGCATGATTGAACAAGGTCGATTAGTCGGTAGGATTGATCAAGTAGAGAGGGTTATTTGGTTTGAGGGCGGAGAGGCTACTGGAGAGAAAGGTAGCGGTAGATCGGAAGGGATTGTTGGGAGGGAACTGAGAAGATGGGATGCTAATGTTCAAAATTTGGCCGAAGAAGTTGAGAAAGTGACTTCTGAGTTGCAGCTAGTTTATCCGGTGAGTAGAATTGGACATCATCTGTTGACACCGCTAATATAGGTTTAGGACTTCGTCGCTGCAAATCTGGTGGTATAATAATAGCGATGATGCGAAATGAATTACACGATACAAGCCTGGCGTTAGGTGTGGTCACTGCGTACCAATAGAGGAGTTCAGATCACCATGACATTTATGATAATAATGAAAAATAGATCAATTTGATCTTTAAAAGTACGAAAAATACCACATTTTGTATCTTTGCCAGTTGTAACGGTGCATTTCATTTACATTTGAGCCTTTGACTCAAGCCATTAGCCTCATCTGTCATCAAGATGTTGTATACCTATCGACTACTGCTCGGGGTACTAGCTTTTCTGGAGCATCAACGATTTTTGCCCTTGTCCAACTTCCGATCCTCTAGCAGACATCAATCTGTGAAGTTCAACGCCAATCAAAGTCCCCATCCGATCATAGCCCTCTTCTGTGAAGTGTAAGCCATCGGTCCAGATTCGTCTACGTTCCTCTTCTGGCATGCTCCAATACGGTATAGCATCATGAAGATTCAGCACATGACTAGATGGCAATTCAGCATTTGCTGCAAATTTTCACAAAGCACACTCACAAATTTTCAGCTTGGTGAGCACGAATCATACCATTCAGATAATCTCTTCGCTGGTCGAGTTCTGGCCTACAAGTACCACATTCTGGGATGGTCAAGGCCAAGACTTGAGTTCCTCGAGAAAGAGCGTAATCCCAGACTTTCATCAGATATTCAAAGACGAGGTCGACATCTTGATTTTGAGTAAGATCGTTAGTGCCTCCTAATATGACCATCCAGTTATAGGGTACTTCGATCTCATTGTCTGGTACGGGTTAGTAATGTTATCTAGGGTACCCGACATAGGTAATCACAGCATCAATCCCGCTCAGATAACCACAGTCACAAACATAACAGAATTTAGAACAGAGGACGACTTACACAAGATATCTAGTCTTGGTAAGTAGTGTCCAGGAGGACTGACAACTTGATCTCCCGGTAATCCTTGGACATCTGTTTTTATCGAGATATAGGGTGACGAGGTTTGAAAAGTATCCTCTAATGCGAGAGCATATGGATGATTGGATGGCCACCCATGTGTTAATGAATTGCCAAAGCACAGAATGTGAACCGGATTCATAATGAGCATGATGATGATAGGAGGATAAGTCGTGTACCCCGCCTTGTTAGTATTTTGTGGAGTATATCTGTTACCGGGACAGTGTCTCTGTTTACTCGCAGGATATGGACAGATGTAATGATGAGTTTCGGATATCTTTGATGGAATAACTGTTGGAGGAATAGGGAATTTACAAGACTTTTTCGCAGATGTGTTGAAATCAAATTACAGCTTCTGAATGTTTTTCATGAATTAAATGACAGCGTGAAGTGTGGTTCGAGTGTGTATAAAAACAGAAGGAAGCTCTAGACTGTGCGGGATCTTCCGGTTGCCTACCCGGGTTACGGTTGCCCTGCCATGTAAACAATCAAATCTAATTTCACCCGCGAAAAAAGAACCTGGAAATACCCAACCTCATATTAAAAACTTCACGCGCCATCTTTTACGCGCATCTTCCCCCGATTCTGACATTATTTTGCTTGAATAGAGGATGTAATAAATTGGAGCCAGATTACATAATTTTTGATTCATATCGCACAAATATCGACATTCGATTCACTGCCCATCTTTCATCACATCGCCCCAATGGCGACGGCTTCACCCACCCCAATGGGTTCGAGTCAATTTGCAGCTATCCGAAGACCTGCCTCACGAAATACATATAAACCAGCTCCTACCCGACCCTCTTCTACCAGGCCAGATGTCGAATCAGCTCGGCATTATTCGCTCAACGACAGCTCCGACGACGAAATTCCAATGCCGATGAAATTGAGTGCCTTAACAAAAGCTTTACTAGATGACGAGGCCTCAGTTGTTGAAACTCCAATCGCTGCTCGTACAACACCAAAGGCTCCTGAAACTTCACACACAAGAGTGGAAAGTGCAGGTATATTGGGATCATCTACCAGGGGGAAGCAATCGCCGCTTGGGAGCCGTGAAAATAGCCCTACCTATCCGCGAAGAATTGTGCGAGTGAGTGGTACGCCCGGCTCTACGTCATTACGAAGAGGTCCCTCATTATCTAGTGCGGTTCAGAAGCACAATGAACAGCAAGCGGCACCAAAAACGGATGAGGGCGCATTAGACCTTAGCACCCCCGCACCTGTACCCAGGACCGTACGAGTATCTATCGGTAGATCTTCAATTGGCTCTTCCGGAAGACCTTCTGGTAGATCAGAATCACCACAACAGGAAAATGAGTATGAAAATGAAGGGCCATATGAATATCCTTCAACAGTTACAAGGTCACAATTAGCTGTGAGCCAGGGAAGTGTTTCGAGATACAATCCCTCTGCCGCCGGTCGTTCGAGGTATGGTGAAGAGATAGGATTGCAAAGTTCCATGAGAGTCAAGAGAGGTGCAGTTCCAAAAGTTTTTGGAACATTTATGAGAGGCCCAGCTCGAAGAGGACGACCACGGATATCTCAGTCAGATGAAGAACAAAGCCCAATGGAGGAGAACGGAAACAGCAATGAAGTCGGATCCAACCAAGAACCTCAAAGTCAGGAATCACAATACCAGGCACGGGAAAGCCAAAACAAAAGTCCAACGCCGGAGTTAGAAGTAGCTAGGCGGGCTCCAGTTTCCTCGTACAGAGATTACGCCTCTTCGGGCAGTCCTCCTAGCTCGAGAAATGTTTTAAATGCAGCCCTGCGTTCCAGATCACCACCACCTCCCACTATATCTGGTTCTCGCGAATCCGATCCTCGCTCCGTTCCCTCTGCGTCGAAGCAACAGCCCGTGTTCAAGATACCAGCTCCACGTCCAGGTGTTCCCGCGACTTATGATCAAGAAAATGACGCGCCCCCAACATTCAAGCGAAATAAACAGCCTTTAACAAACACAAATAGTGCAGAAAAACAAGCTCGGCCAGAAAGCTTCGATATACGTGCTAATGGGTCTCCGGAAAGACGTCCTCTGGCTGTTCGAAGTCAGAATACTCCTCGAAGGCCTGCACCACCACCACCAAAGATGTCCGTATTAGAGGCCGCGACTAGTACTGCTGGTGCCGCTACTACATCGCACGCCAATGCCCGAAGAAATAGGCTAAAGGTCAACGGGAAAATATTCACACGCTTGGATGTTATTGGACGTGGAGGTAGTTCAAAAGTATACCGAGTGATGGCAGAGAACTCAAAAATATTTGCATTGAAGCGTGTTTCCTTGGAAGACGCAGACGAATCGGCTATACGTGGTTTCAAGGGTGAAATCGACCTACTAAAGAAGCTGGGCTCCGTAGAAAGAGTAATTCACTTATATGACTACGAATTAAATGATGAGAGAGGAGTTCTTAGTGTGGTAGGTTACATCGTCCGCATTTCTTACAAAGAGCAAGTCAACTAACGTTCACCCAGCTTATGGAGATGGGAGAATTGGATATGAATACAATTCTAAATCTACGCATGAAATCTGAACAAGCCAAGTTAGACGTCAATTTTGTACGCTACTATTGGAAAGAGATGCTTGAGTGTCTCCAAGCTGTTCATGCTTACGATATTGTTCATTCTGATTTGAAACCTCACAATTTTGTCCTTGTTCAGGGCCGTCTCAAGCTGATAGATTTCGGTATCGCCAACGCGATTCAAACAGAAGAAACCGTGAACGTCCACCGCGAAACACAAATCGGTACACCAAATTATATGTCTCCTGAATCCCTCATGGACTCAAACGCTTCTGATGGGAGGAATCGCAATGAACCAAAACTCATGAAACTCGGAAAACCATCCGATATATGGAGTTTGGGCTGTATACTTTATCAAATGACCTATGGTCGTGCTCCATTTGGTCATATTCAAAACCAACTGCAGCGCTGTCAAGCGATCATAAACTTCAGCCATGAGATCGAATATCCAGCATACGGTGTGGGTGGTGTTTTGGTTCCCAGCTCTCTGATTCGAACACTCAAAAACTGCTTGAACCGAGATCAGCATAAAAGACCATCGGCGGAAGAACTATTAGGGGACAACGACACATTTTTGAACCCGTTAGAAATCGATATGGATAAGCACTTTCCCATGACAGAAGAATTGCTAGGCAGAATTTTGCAAAATGTTATACAAAAGTGCGAAGCACTAGGGAGAGTGCCTAGTGAAGGAGAACTCTTGACTTCGTGGCCTAAAGGGTATTTCGCAAGTTTAAGGAAGGCCGAGAGGGGTGGGGCATGATTGTCATTGAAGACGTTGGAGATACGAATTGGAATGGATCATGAAAATTAATGCAAACAAATGGAGTTTGTGAGCTGAATGAAAGGTGTTCGGCGTTTACTATTATTGTCATTACCTCGCTCCAAGATTCGGAGACAGGTGGCATCATAGACAAAGAGATCAGGTGGTAATTAATGTGTTTAAAGTATTGTATGATTCGATGGATTGGAAAAGAATGGCGTTTTGGGTATACTTTTTCTCTTTCCCTTCGTGGTGCTTTGGGAGTTTGTAGGATATACCAAATTCAGTTTTAGTTTCAATTATCAGTTTAAGAGGAGGAGGGGATGAAGGAAGAGAGATAAATGAGATTTCTATATTTCAAATTCTAAGTCTTGTGCGAGAATGTCGTGATGTTGAGTTAGAGTTGTGATAGGCACTGGTGTTGTTCCTTTGGCTATCTTGTTCGGTGATGATGCGTTTTTTGTCTTTTTTCGTTTTTGAGCTCACCGAGCCACCGCATCTGGCTGATCTACATAGATTTGATAGCTATTCTTCCTGACGAGGTTTTGTAAAGACACCGACAAGATGATTCAAACTTATTAGATTATGTACAAGTTCAAGTATACAAATACTAGATACGCAAATGTGAACGTTATTTTTGCATCTAAATAAAAGAGGGTCTTATTGGACGCTTCAATCGTCAAGTAAAAGGTGCGTTGGAAGCGAGACAACAAATAAGGGACACAGGATTATAGGTTAAATTTAAGGGGGGTAGGGAGGTAAGGTTAGACGGGTGCACGGCTCATTACGTCATCACTAAATTATTGTTTAATCTTCAAAGTCAATCTTCACTTGACATTGTCAGATTTTGAGAATCGCAAACAAATTATATCTCTGCATAAGCAATACCAAAATTACCATGCGATCGTCCGTGATACAACGAAGCCTTATGCGCTCGTGTAGGACGGCTTCCACTCGACCTGCAATCGTTCGCCACACAGCCCTCGTTTGCCAAATCTGCCACCAGCAATCCACCCCTCTTTCCCAAGCTGCTGCTACGATTCCCTCCCGCGGATACGCATCTTCGTCCACGAATCCCTCACCATCTGCTTCACCAGACCAAACTACTCCTTCGGTTGCCTCAACTCCACAAACCCACTACGATCTTTTCCCCCTCACTCTTCCTCGCGGTCCGCCACCCTCCGGCCCCTTCCACATCGACGTTCGTGCGCTGCGCAATGAATTTCTCCGTCTGCAGGCAAGTGCACATCCAGATTTACACTCAGCGTCGAATAAAGCCCGCGCCGAAGCTACCAGCGCTTTGATCAACGAGGCATATAAAACATTACAGTCGCCTCTATTGCGGGCGCAATATCTGTTGGGACTACAGGGTGTAGATGTACATGATGAGACTGGGAAGACCGGAGGGGAGGCGGGAGATAACGAGTTATTGATGGAAGTTATGGAGACAAGGGAGGAAATGGAGGAAGCGGAGGAAGAGGGTGATTTGGATGGACTGAAGGTTCGGAATGAGGAGCGGATTGCTAAGTGTGAGGATGTGGTAGGGAAGGCTTTGGAGGCTGGGGATATGGAGACGGCAAGGAGAGAGACGGTCAGACTGAGATATTGGGTCAATGTGAGGGATAGTTTGCATGCGTGGGAGAAAGGCAAGCCAGTTGTTATGGTGCATTGAGGGAGTTTAACGAGCATCGGGGTGTGAGTAGAAGTCATGGGGTTTCCACATTCGATGTCGCTTTTGACGACGATTTTGAGATATACTCAACACGTAAATCAGGCGATAGTACTTGTACTGGTTCCAATCAGTCGTCCCAACGTACGACAAATGACGTTGGCCTTGGTTCAACTCAGAAACTGTTTTTTTCCTGAGGTGGCCGAAGTGGCCGAAGTATCGGCTTATCAACCCAAACCGATCAAATCAACACTTCACATCTAGTCTGAAAGGACACTTCTCCACTTCTTCTCAATGAGATTCTACTACGAGATTGCAGCGGCCCTAGAAGACAAAACGCTGCCTGCATGATTATGCTAACTGTCTGAATGCATGTCATTAAATAGCATTAAACACAATAGATGTGGAAACTTGGGGTAGAAATATTCTGGGAGGAAATCATGGTCAAGATTTAGATATACCCGGCTTGAGCAATCGGCAAGGCCTGTTTTACAGTTTCTTATTGTATAATAAAGAATTCACAACTCCGGTTCGTTCTCAACTACTTGTCCTTGTGCGTGAGAATGGAAATGGCGCTCTGAACATAACTGATCTGTGCAGCTACGCAATGGCTCGAAAATCATGCTCAACACAAGGTGGAGACGAGATTAGTAATGACAGTTCGGCGTCAGTCGCCATCATGGATCATATGGAGATGTAGGTGTCTCAATCCTAGACTGTTGTCCCGTCTAGCCATGTGATTGTGCATATCAGTTTGAGGATTTATTTCTTCTTTGTTTCTTCTCTCATCTTATATTGCCAATTGGGCTGACTCGTCTGATATGTCGTCTGGTAGCGATTTTCACGTTGGATTTGCGGTGGAGGTTCGATAGCTTGATTGAGCTTCTCCATCATTCTCTTATGCCCCAGCGATGGCGCATCATATTGAATTGGTACCCATGGCGCATCCGAGTTCTGATTACCATCAAGCATACTTGCACACATCACATGCATTGAACAAACTCAACATCTTCACAGATAAAGTCATCAACAAAAGTAGGTAGGCAGTATTCGCTGTGTTTCTATTATGAACATACACACAGAAGCTTTTCCATCCCCACTAATCTTTCACAATTCCAACAGACAATCATACAGTCCGGTCAAGAGAAGAAGAATAAAAAGACAGACAAACATATGCCCAAATAAAATCTATAGAAGAGAAAGGATACCCAGACGCCAATTCGCTAGCCACAGACGGGCGCATAGCGGTACTCACGTTACAAACGCTCTCATTAAAGGTGTTAATTGCATCTCCTCATGAAGCAAAGACAATATAGTATATCCAGAGAAAGGGTGATTTTTGTCTTTTCGTTTCGTAACCGTAATGGGGATATCCCCGTTCAAACTCATTCATCCGTCGATTATCCTTCCATCCGAGTTCGATCATAAATCTTATGAATTGCCATTCGCGGCATCCTTTGGCTTCGATTTTCCCATGATCTTTTGCCATGCCTTGATCACCAGATCCTCCTTGAACCTCTCCCACCATGTTCTGTTCAAGAAATTACTCAGCTCCCTGTAATTATACATCTCACCCCAACAATCACGTCCCCACTCGCAACCTGCCATATTAACCAAGAAATCCCGATCATGTTCATCATAATGAATTCGCGTATCGTTTCCGTTATCCGAGCATGCTCCAGGTGGGAAACTATTGATTTTGCGCTGTGGAATAAATGCGGTATGAGGACGTATCCAAGGTTGATTGATGTACAAGAATTCGAGCGCGTCTTGTTCTTTATGCTCCCATTCCATGTGTTTTTGTTCATAGCCAACAGGGTCCCACCATACGTCGAGAAGGCGATCAGTCCATGCGCTGCGTTTGACGAAGAAAGAACCAAGATTGAAGCCGGAACAATCTTGTGGGACTATGAGGTTTATAGAGCTTGCTTGGCCGTCTCCGACTGTGCTACGAGATTCGGCATCTAGGTAGGGAGAGTCGAGAGGGTGTGTAATGTTCAGTGGGTTATAATCATTGATATCGCGGTAGGTATTTTTGGCAAGGCTATTGAAGATGTGGGATTGGAGGGAGTAGGAAGGTTCCATGATGAAGGTGTTGAGGTCGAGCCACCAAAACCTGCGCAGTGTTAGCTTCTAAGCTCCATTCGTTGCATATCAGGGTCCAATTTACCATTCAGCTTCAGGATATTTTCTCAGAGAATTTCGGATAGTGTCAACCTTTTCCCAACTCTCTCTCCATTCGTGTGCGTATCTCTTCTTGGTGCTCATGTCCACGATCTCCAATTCGTATCCCCATTTGTTTGCGTATTTCCGTTTGTTTTTCACGCTGTCTCGTTCGATTGCCCATTCCCTTGGTCCCTTCCACTCCATAACTCCACCTCCTTGATTTGCTGCCAATATTATAACGAACTTTTTGCCCCCTCCAAAATGCGTTGCTCGGCGCCACCAGTAATGTAAAGCTATCTCGAGGTCAGAATTTCTCGCTGTCCCCCTGCTCGATGGGTTGACTTACGTGTAGAATAGAAAAGAATTATCATCATTACAAACCCCAAAACAATCATAAATCGCAACTTCATCTTGCTACTGACTCTCGCAAGACCGTTTCTTATACGTGCCAGCTTAGATGAACCTAACAATCGTCCGCGCCCCAATTTCTCTTTTTCCGCATAACTGCCATCCCCTCCCATGTGAAAATGCGGCAGACTATTTGATATATTTCTGATGTGCCGATTGAAGAAGCCATTGTTTTTGGTTGAAAATGAAGGGTAACCATTTACTTCCTCGCTCTTTGCTCTCGCAGACTCCCAAGTCACCGAACCTCCATTTCCGCCTGTCCTTTGCATTTTATTTGGGCTAGATCTTCCACTGTCATTGGCATAAGGGCTTGAAAGACCTGGACTAGCCCATCCTCCTCCAGGTCTTGGAGATGGACTTCGCGATAATGACATTGAACCAATCGGTGTTCCAGGTATAGGTGATAACACCCGGGTGGAGGAATGGGAGGAAGTTCGTTCGTCGGGCTCAATTCCTGTCTTTATGTGTATTGATGACCGTTTTCGATGATGTTGGTGGGAGGATTTTAAAGAAGAAAGACCGGAGGACGCCAGCTTGACGAAATGACCAAAGAAAGTCAAAAAAATTAATACACAATAAATTTAATGAGCCACTATAACTAGCTCGTTCCTATCACCTTACTCGAGCTTTTCAAAAAATTCAAGTTGCGACCACTCTATGGAATGAATTCGTTGGCTGAATGCAAAGTGTCCTGAGGTTCTTGGCGTTCTCTCGTGCTTATTAGATAAGGGATGGATGGTGTAGCGGTACTGTACTTTATTTACTCGTATTTCTGCTTTGAGAACTACTGGCTTGAGCGTTTTATTGAATGGCGTTTTTGATTTGTTTGTGATATTTGTGTGAAGTTGAAGAATTGAATACGATATACATGTATGTATGAGTATGACTATGAGTATAGTAAGATGGCAAGATGGCAGGATGGCAGGATGGCAAGAAGGAAAGGAAGTGAAGATGAATTAAACTATATACTATGTACTTGGGTCAACAGATGTAATTATTCCTCTGTTCCTATACCAATCCTTTCTTTCTCCATTTATTAATGAAATTAACAAAAATCTGAAATTAATTTATCTTGTGTAATTACGCTTCATTGATAGGGGTAATCTAGAAATCTATTATGCTAGGGAATCTCGAGGGAATATTACGCCCACACGCGGCACGCCGAGACGCCTTATTATATGTTGACTGCTGCTGCTGGGTAAACTGGGGATCCGATAGCAATTTCTTATCAATTGACTTGGTCATACTTGGTGTAGGAGTCTCGAGGGAGTCTACTGGCTCGACTGAGTAGTAGCTATCCTATCCTCGTCTCATCTGGTGCATCTTCCCAGGTAGGTAGGTAACCTTATTCCTCTCCTTTAAAGGTTATTATACCTTAAATTATGGAAACATACGTCGGATACACAATCGGTGAACAGACAACCTTGGTGCGTGTATAGGAGTACAGTGGCTTAGCTTAGGCTTCTTACTGAAGACACGATGAGGTGATGAGATCTTTCACATCTTGAGCTGAACGTTACAGCCGTTTTCAATACTTTGCTCATCGAAAACAACAAAACGGTGATATATGCTAGGTCTGACATTGACAAGGCAGGTCTTGGAGATGGATACAAAGTCACCACGACAGCCGTCATTAATTTCCAAAGCAATATGTATATCTCGCAAGTTCAGTGGGTCTTGGAACTGGACATGGTGGCATCTCAACGGTGAAGAATCTATACGGTCAAGATGGTGAGCTGCATACGACAACTGCAGACAATACGAGGATGTCCATACCACTGTCGCCGTCAACATCACAAATGAGGATTCAAACACCGGACAGAGTGTTAGTAAGCTTGTCACCACAACTACCATGAGTACCTAATACGAAAGAGTTGCCCAAAATTATTCGCAGCTGGATGGGCAAGTCGGAGGTCATGAAGACTACTACTAGATACTCAAATACGAAAATCGAAGAGAGGGAATAGATGCTTCTCAAAAATGATCTCCCACTGACCACATGCCAAGGAGCAGACCTCGCAGGCTTGTTTCCACTAATATGCACATCATATGATCACACGTGATACGATAATCACCAAACCTCCATGGCCTTGTGGGATGATGAATTATACTTCTTCAATTTCTACATGCAAGACTTCTAATTCATCTGGGCTGACCATTTTTCTTCATTCTTTACATCCAACAGTGACAACAAAACCATGCATGGTAGACATTCGAAAACAACACTATCTCAAATTCAACTTCAAGCTCCTACGCAACGCAACGTCCCTCTTTCTTGCAAGCACCAGCACATCCAATTGCATAAGCAGAAGCCCATCCAGATGCAGCAATAGTGGGTGCACCTGAATGTTTTCCAAAATAACACATTCCGGTGTCCTTTTGGAAATCAACAGATTGACACGCCAATGTGAATCCGCAAATCTTCATGCATTCCTCTAAAGAGCCTGCTTGTGTATCACCGATAGGGATCGTTCCATGGCGCTTGCAACAGTCCATTCGGAATCGCTGAGCATAGTTAGTCACAGTCTCAAACTTCGCTTTCTCTCATTAGACACTCACTTGTCCTGTTGGAGAATCCCATGTTTGTCCATCAGCATTTGGGCATTCTGTTGAGCAAAGGTATGTCAGGTCGTCTTGCTTTGCAGATGTTGGTGGGTCAATGACAACTGCAGATGCTTTCTTGTCTACAGAGAATAATCAGCCTCCACCGAATCAAAATAGGTAATATGAAATAATTACTGGTAGCATCTGAGGTTAAAGCTTCAACGCCAGCCTCAAACATTTTACACTCCCAGTTGGGCTTTCCGTTAGCAAATGTTACACTATCTTAATCAGTCTCGTTCCAATATTTCTGATAGACTGTACTTCATACCTCTTGCATTCGGGAATATCTGCACAAGCAGTCATGCATTCGGCAAAGTCATGAAGTGGTCGGCTTCCAGAGATCGTAATTTCAGCTGTATTCTCGAAGCCGCACTTGACCTTGAAGTATGTGCCCTGTGGAGTCAAAAAGGTCTTTCCATCATCTGAAATTGTCAGTGAATAAGATAATTCCTGTAAATTTGAGTATGTGCTTACTGGTTGGACATTCGCCATCCGTTGTGAAACTTGCACTGGCGGTCACACTTTCTGCGAGGGCTACCTTGGGTGCTGGGCATTCTGGTGGTGTGCGGTACTCTGTATCGGGACGCTGCTTGCGCTCTTCGAGAGGAAACCAGGTGTGCGTTCCTGTAAGAGGAAATGTCTTTTCTTGTCAGTAAAATAAGGCAAAATATAATAAATCTCCTCTTTCTAACTTAGTTCTACTCACCGGTATGTACTACTAAAGTTAGCGGATCGCAATCACACTCAAAGACTAAGCAATACACATACCTCCTGCTTTGTTGCACATATTTTGTAATTGATGTTCCAATCGGCAGACTGGCAATTTGGAAGGGTCGAGCAATAATCTGCACATTCCTTTTGTGTAGCTGTGGTCGTAGAATCAAGATGCTTAGCAAGGGTACCGTGATCGCATTTTAACTCGAACGTCACACCATTTGCCGTCGTGTATCTTGCTCCGTTATCTGCCGGACAGGAATAGACTTTGGGTCTCCCCGCTGCAGGGTCCCCGGCAACGGGAGCAGTTGAGGCGCCAGGTCTACCAGCAGCAGGAGCAGCGCCTGAAGCCGCTGGCTGAATTGGGACTTGATCAGGAGGAGGTGCACTGCCAGGTCGACCAGCCGCGGGTGCTGGGGCAGGAGCTGCTGCACCTGGACGTCCTTGAGCCTGATCTTGAGCGTTCACAAATGGCTGGCATAGAAAGAAAAGGGAAAATAGTACAACGAGGGTACTTCTAGTGAGGCCCATCATGATTGTCAATGAAATGTGACTCAAGAAGGATAGTAAGAAGATGAAGGCGAGGATATCTCTCGCAAGCGTGTAGAGGGGAAATTCAGCTTTAAAGTTGGACTTGATGGAAATTTAAACAACAAGAGTGTTTCTTGTTCGGATGACAACGGAAATGGAACATGGGCCTCAGCTATTCTAAGGTAAATACAATTCGTTCCTTAGATTAGCCCCATATATGTTCATGCATCCTTGTGCTCATCTGTGATGCCACTATATTCTCCAAGCCAGGTACAAGTTTTTATTTTCCGATAAAACCTATCACTTTTCCAACCGAGAGGATAATATCTCCCCGTATTGCAATTCAAGACACTTTCAGCCGGCAATAAACAGTTACTGTCACACAACAAGGTTGGTTCAGGTGCGCCGCATTTCTTGAATTGATATTTTACAGACAGTATCCATGGATCACTGAGATACATGAAAATCAATATTTGGTCATATAATTAGAGCAAGGAGTGGCACAGCGTATGCATACCTTCTCAACGATTCTAAGTCAACACGTAGCGGGTTCCCTCGCTTTAACGGAATGTCGATCAGAAAAACTTTAGGAGAAACACACATGCCCATCATGTTGTGAGACATAGTCAGTACCCTTTGGTGTCTTCATACATCCACAACCGGGTTCTCTCGGAGCTTAACAAATTTTAATCAATGTTCCACAAGCATCCCCATTATACAATTCATATTTTGGACATTGAGGCTTGCGTTGAGAGATACCCATTTGATAGAGAATTGAAGAGGCAATCTTCTTTTCCATCTCTCTTTTGTATAGCCTTTTATGACCAATCTCTGGAAAGTTTACTTTGACATACTTTCTTCCCTTTCAAATTTACAAACAATCTCGTTAACAGTTTAACATCACGGACTGGATATTCAATCTTACCATGTTGGTTCAAAATTTAGTGAAGCTTTTGCTTCCTCTCGCTGTCCTAACAGGTCAAGTTCTTGCCGTCGATCCAACTCCAGCTGATAAGGCAAAATGGGATGCCGTATGCAAGCAAAGTAAGATCATCACTTCAAGCTTCTCAGAAACTAGAATACTAATCTATGACAGAGGCTGGATCTCAGTTTTGTGAGTTGATGCAATGACCTCAAATTTCGCTCTCTCTGACAAACTTCGCAGCCATGCAATTCGACGCAGCTGGCAGTAAGTTCTCCCTAGATAAATTATCACTCTTGTGCTTATTGAATATCCAGAACCGACTGGACAATGTGTTGCTCCTCCAGTTACAAACTGTTACTGGGGTCCATATACCGTAAGAGATGATCTCTCTGTAAGGTTATGATATCACGTTCTAAACTCTCTAGGATCCGAAAACAAACAAGCCTGGATGCTGCGGTAAAGACAAGGTAAGCTTCTTTTCGATCGATTTCTATGAAACATGGAGCTTATTGAAAATTTCTAGGGAACTTTCAGTGTTGATCCTGTGGTTAAGACTGAAGGAGCATGTTGCGTTGCTCCAAGTGTCTTTTCTTTCGATGCCACACTGAAGAAAGGCGATTGTTGCGCTCCGGATAAATTCTATCATGCCGATCCAAAGACTTTGACTGGAAGCTGCTGTGCCAATGACGACGATGTGTTTACTTGTGATTGTTCTTGCAAGCCAGTAAGTGCTCATTTCAGGTGATCACGGTTTGAACGTTTCTAGACTAAAACTAACGTCTTAGAACCCAACACCTTCCTGCCCCAAGGGTGACGGAAAAGAATTCACAGCTGGAGGCAAGAAATACAAGCTCTATTGTAAATTGAGTGAGCAAAGTCCCTCACCTCATCTTTGATCAATGTCTAACAAGCTTATTGTTAATCATGGAACAAATGACTTGGGTCAAGCACCCGCAGCTTCATTGGGCGATTGCATGACTCGCTGTTCTGGAATCAGTAACTGCGTCCGTGCAATTTGGAACCAAGCTACCGGAATCTGCTACCTACGAACTCACGGCAACAACGCTGTACCCGTGACGGTCGATCCCTATGATAGTGCTCATCTTATCGATGAGCCTGTTTGTCCCTGCCCATGCCCAAGTGCAACTCCATGTCCATCATGTCCAACACCAGCCCCCTTCCCAGATAAATGCCCGGCTGCTGAAGGTAAGACTACTACGGTGGGTGGAGTTGAGTACAAGGTTTATTGTACGTTGGGACATACAGCTGCAAATCCAAACTTGGGAGTTTCGAGCGCAAAGGATTTCAAGGAGTGTATGGAGCAGTGCTGTGAGTCATAAAGTCACCCTTTTGGACCGTGAGATAGAATACTGATTTCTGGCATCTAGCTGCCAAAGCCACACCTTTCTGTCAAGGCGTCAACTTCTATGACGATGGTAATCCCACTGACAACTGTGTTTGGGCCTCTATACATCAGAGTCCCCCAACAGGAGCAGCGCCTGCCGGAGGTGACTTCTTATGCGCTGTCCCTGTTACAAAGAGGACTTAATAAAAGCTATTATCTTGGCTCATAGAAGATCTTCGGGAAGTGGGGATGGCTAGGGGTTGATAGGAACAATTGGTGTCGTATTCTTGGAGACGAGAGATTAGTATTACCTCAGGCTAGAATTTAATGACAACTGCTTTGAAGTTGATACACTCATTTTACCATTTTGATTGAAACCATTACAGTAAAACAATTCCGAGCGGGGTTTTTCGCCTACGTAGAGGAGTGAGGTGAAAACCAGATATCACGAGATCTCGCTTGCAAAAGAAAACGCCTCGCCCCAACGGGAAAACCGCCTCATTCCCAACCTCACCTAAATTTCTTCTGCATGTAGGGATTTTCGGAGAAACACCAATTTCATGCATATGCATCACTGACTCAAATCGATCACAACAGTCATTTCATAATCGTCCCGATCCTCGCGGGAAGAGGACGCTAATGCAATAATTACTCCTTACAGTACGCCTCGCTTCCGAGGTCCGTGTGAGCACATACACACAGCATTTTCATTTCTTCGAGTTCAGCTACACATATATTCTGTTTCTTCCAATTTGATTCACACAGTTATTACTAGATATATGATATTCCTAGTGTCTCAACCAGTTTCCGAGAATCGCGCCGGATCGGCACGAAGTGCCAAGCATCGGTGCAACAGATGATGCATGGCATTCTTCGTACAGATACACTAGTACACTACCCCATACTTGTACCATAAGTCTGTACCACTTGGGCAATGTATTAATTACGCGGCCTTGAATGTTCCGTATTTTGAAATACTGATTTCAACAACGCAGGCAGCCACAACAACACCTCAGCTACAACATAGCTGCGCCAAAGCAGTACCTAAGACAAAGCAACATAGTGCAGCTATAGTGGAACAGTAACAGCTACGTCAAAAAGCCAGTAAAGTGCAGTTTGGCACAGCTTACAGATGAATTTCATGGTCGGCGAGGTTCTCAAACTGTGATAGGAATTTTTTGAGGTAAGGACTCGATAGAATCTCCCTACATGCATTGTGGGGTTGGGAATTTTGTCAATAATCAAATTTGAATTGCTCGTCACTTCAAGTGAGGAGGCGGTAGCACTTCATTACGGCTTTGGTGTCCTCGTTCCGGCTCCTTCCTACAAAGTGAAGAAATGGGGGCATGTGTTACACACTTATCACATCAAGCAAATTACTTTGTTCTTTTAGAACACTGGGAGGAAAACATACTTCTACATCCGCTTCCCCTTGGTCACTGATTAAACTTTCAATTTTACTTGGATTCTATCCTTTTTCCACTTCATCTACTACTTCACGATGAAAACATTCAAGCTCTCAATACTTGGTATTTTCACCATTGCAAGCTTTGTAGCTGCTCAGCTGGAGACGCCTGAGGTATATTAGCCCTTTATATTTCAGAATCTATAGGTCTTTGCACATGTGCTACAGAAACAAGACAATCTGACTTTATTCCAATCCAGGATTTTTGCAAGAGAACCGCTGGACCAACTTACGTCCCTAAAAAGGATGCAAATGGTGTCTTCCAAGGCGAATGCGAAACCGCAGCTATAAGCAGTATGTATCTCCGCCCATCTTCTCAAGTTTCATGTATCTAACACGTCAAATACAGTTTGTCTTGGAACAGAGTAAGATTCTAATTATAATCCTCTCCTGACTGGGGAAATCTACAGGGCTGTCTCGTGATAAGAGATATGGGGAGCTAACGTAGATAATATAGATATGCACAATCTCAGACTGGTGCTACAACCTGCTGTCTGCCACCAAACACAGTTCAGTCTGCTAGTGGGAAGCAAGGTTGTTGCCCACCAGGCCAGAATTTCAAATGGGATGGTATGTTTCCTCTTCTTTCTTCAAGCCCTCTCCCGCATCCACTCCTCTTTTCCCAGTCGCAAACCTGACACAGCATCACCAATTCAGGCACGTCCCCTTCCTGCGTCACACCTCCGCCACCTGCTCCCGCTATATCTTGCCCAGCTTCCAACATGCAAGTTGTAAATCGCAATGGGCAAAACTTCAGAATCTACTGCCAGCGTGCAGTGATGGTATACACACATCCCTGGTTAACCACCACTTCGTATGGAATATACCGAGCCATCCAGGGCCCTGAGCTGATGACGAATGATTTCGAGACTTGCCTACGATTTTGCGCGGCGAATGGGAAATCTAATGGCGCCAATTTCTGGCCTGCACAAGGATTGTGCTCTGTGGTTGACACGCCGCCTGGGAATTTCTTTAAAGTGGGAAGTCGTTATGATGTACCACCTCCTCCATACAATGGACCGCAGATTATCTCCATGGTAGCGATACCCAAGCGTGCTTATTAGACTAAGCTTGTTGGAAACTTGGTGCTGAGGAATTGGGTTCGATAGTTAGGACAATACGGACAGACTATAGCTAGTTCACAAACAATACTTCCATTTGTTATTATTGTGTCTGCATGGGGTAGAGGAAGGATCGTAACTTGATAGTGAGGCTTCGGTATGCTAGATTAACTTGACAACATGATAATCTTACAATTCAACGTGGTTGAAGCCTCGAGGTTCAAGCCCTGTCTTCTACATATCATTCAGGAACGATGAACCAGCTAAGCGCTCAAGATGATGTCGAGTTCTCAATCTGAGATAATGCAATTTGTGATACCAAGAGGAAAAAATCCCGGTAGCACAGCTCTGAAACTTACGTAGTGAGCACCAAACGTTCAGAAAATAAAGCACAGTACAATTCTCCCCAATCATACTTCTCCCGTCGTTCATGTTTTATATAACCTTACCTGAGAACTTCTATTCCACAGAAATAAATTGCGAAGTTCTACTAAACGGCTGGCATCATAGACATCATGTCATGAATATGAGACCCGTTCCTTTCTGTGCACAGTTTTGAAACCTTGGTAAAGGCATTTTATCCCAAAAGACGGAGGACGAGGTATTATAACTTTTATTATAATAAAAAGTTACATTGATTCGGATATGGAAATTAGATGCCAATACACATATATACATCAGGTATGTACCGTTCACATAGAGCAGCGTCGTAGGTTTCATAAGTAAACCCTTTTCATAAGGGGTGCATAGATTTAGTACAAACCACAAACCGCCGTAAAGATGTGGTAGAATGGTATTATCCTTACACCTGCGTGGTTTTAGTAAATACAGTACATTAAATGCTATCTCTATCATGTGATGACGATCAAGGCTGATAAAAACACACCTCGTCACTGCTAAAAATAATCTAAGGTGATCATCACCTTTCCCCCATCTTTTCTCTCCTCTTTTTCCATTCTTCAACAACTTCCAAACGTTGAACGAGGCCCATCCGTCTCCTTGCGAGAATACACGATAATTACTCCCAATCATAGAAGACATCATTCTCTTGCGTAACATTGATCAGATATTCATCGTCATGCCATATCCATGGATAGGTTCTCATTTAACGCGGCAGCCAATCACTGCAAATCAAACTTTTCTTGTCGGCGCGTAAAGTTACAGCAAGAGACCACAATCTCCAATCGACTGGTCAATAAATGATTTTACCATTATGACTTGTAACGACTTGTGGCGATTGTGAGCGAATAAGAAAAGTTTGCTATTTTCGGTATTTCAAGTCTGGAATCTAGATTGTAGGTTGTGCTTCATGGTTAATTTGTAGGTCTACTTCATATGGGAAGTGTCATCACATCAATCCTGTTTCATTGTTTTTCTATCCCTCTATCTCCTGTCTACTCATACATTCGTTTTCTTACGTGTAGTTCTATTGTACGTTGTCACAGATTCGTTCGCTTCTTATTTTGCTTATTGTCTGGTTGGATTATGAGACGTTCACTTTCGTTATCATTCTTTGTTATTGTTGAGTCCTCAATAGCTATTGTCTAAAAATTTCCTATTGTCCGAATCTTGTTGTTGGCCTGGAAATTCTCGGAATATCTCTTATTTATGACCATGAGGAGGCTGGACCTTAGACATTTCCTTTTTCACGTATAATTAATAAACGTTTCGACCTTCCTCAAATCAAAGAGATTATTTGCAACTATACCACCTAGAGCAAGAACGACCATCGCTGGACAAAAAGCAAGGAATTTTCCATTATATACACCTTCAATCCATTTTCACACCACAATTTTGACAATTTTTGCAACCATTTCGCCATGAATACCAAAAACAAGATCATATCTAAATCTCCTGTTGAGAGACCGCCAGCTCTATCTACGAACAATCCTTCCACAGCACTTACAGAAAATCCTTTTGAAACCATATTTGACGGGAAAAGCGAAGATGATGATTCTTGGAAAGACGAAGATGTATATTCTATCGCTTCACCGGAGGAGCTACAACAGTCGAGACCCTCAGGAAATATTACTACCAGCCGCGCAGGAAACATGACACGCACATTCAGTCGTAGAGAGAGAAAGTCCTCCATATCGAGAGTGATAAGAGAGAAGTCAAAGGGAAGACAGCGCAAGATCCATGCAAATCTCCGCCTTAAAGTCCAAACAACCTTTTCAACACATCATGGACCTCAACCTCAAGCGATATCTTCACAACAGTCTCGATCTAATGGAGTTTTTGTTGATTTGGTCACCCTCAGGAAACTGGAAAATGTTTCGGCTCATCCAAACGGAACTTTGTGGAAATCGTTGGAGAGCAAGAAAAATAAAGCCATTGAAAACTCTGCTGAGGAGACTAAGACCGAGGCTCCTGAACCAGTACAGAACGAAACACCAAATGTCTATCCGCTGGCAGAGCGACGGGGATCTTTGAGACCAGCAGCTCTGAAGCTAGAGGACGACTTATCTCCTAACGATCGTCCAATTGTTATCGGCATATCGATCCCATCTGCACGTTTAGCTCATCATGTAACCACCCCGCAAACATCAACTTCAATCGCTTCAACAATGATTGGAAGTTACGGGCACGAGACACCGACAGGGAAAGAATTGGTAACGCCATCTATCATCATTACGCCTGCCCATGAGATCTCTGCGTGGTCGCCGTACAGTACTGCTTCGAATGTTTCCCGAGCACGAACTCTATCGACATCCTTTTCAGTAGCTAGCCCCAATGACCCATTCAAAGAGGGGGCACCACCATTGCCGAAAATGCCAGCAGCTTTAGCTGAAGAGGAGAAGCGAAGAGTGGCCGCTCAGCATAGTTATTTTTCTCCCGATTCGGATGCCACTACTGAATGGGATGACGAACCAGATTCAACCCGAGTTCTGTCGTCTTGTATCATTTATGAAGAGGATGAACATCCAATTGTTGTACGAAGTGCTCGTGCAGTCAATGTTCCAGATAAATTGAAAGTGGACAACCATGAAAGTATTGACACCATTGCTGCACGGACCCGCTCTGGATGGTGGAATTATATCACTTCGCCATTTATGACGCGGTCGAACACAATAGTATATCCAGAGAAGAAGATTTCCGATATCCCCGAAGTACCTATTTTGACCATTGCAGCAGCCAAAGCTCAGGAGTCAAAGGTGGAGCGAAAGTCGTGGGAACAGCTTTTTTCTCCCCTTTCAATCAAAAGGCCAAGCTCTAATGCATCTGATGCTTGGTGGGATGTGACTCCCTTAGGCTTCAGATCAGAGAAACAGGTTTCCCCTGGTTTAGTTTACAAAGAGACGAGACATCCGGTGAAGCCGTCGATAGCTACTTTACCCTTTGTTCGTTCAGCTTCGGGCGATATGGGAGATGCATCATTGGCTAGCGCCATTGATATGACTACCACCGCAGATTCTGTAAATTTTGCAAATTCTACAATGCCTCATGACCATTCGGATATTTCGGGTTTATCACAAAAGGATTCTATTTTGGTCAACAAAGAAAATTCGTTGTTGTCTTCAGACGATAGTACAAAAGAACTCGGAAGCAATAATCCCTTTGTTCGGTACCAGAATAGTAACATTGATCTTTACAACGACTCGAGTATGATTAAAGATGCGGACTTGAATGATTCAGGGTTGAAATCGAGAACACTTATTGTGAATAACGCTACCGAACCACCACCACCGCCACCTTACACTGAATCGCCAAAGAAAGTCAGAAAATATCGAGCCTTTTTTCCTTCCTCACACGAATCAGCACCTGCTCCAGCACAAGCACCAGAACCAGCGGTGATTCAAGCTTCAGCAGCAGCTTCGACCTTGCAATATCCTGCTTCCCCCGGTCCCATATCCCCAGAAAGCGAACGAAAGATGGCTTCACAAGCCTCTATTCAGCTGTCAGAGGTTCCATTGAGTCCTGTGCGTGGTAGAACCAATCAGAGCACTGCATACCCTGGGCCTGCTAGACAGACAACACCAACAATTTTGATTATGACTGAAGAATATCTCGAGCAAATGGCAGATAAAGCAGCTCTCAAAGCCGCCAAAAAATCAGAGTCGAAACGTCAAAGAAACGAAAAGGAAGATAGCATGGCTAGCAAATTAGGTGGATTGTTCAAGAAATGTATACCTAAAAAGGGTAGGCAAGGCCCTGAAGGCCGAAAAAGACGAAGATGGTATTGCTGCGGAACTATTGCATTGATTGTGTTGATCATCACCATTGTAGCCCTTGCTGCGACGCTAACTCGCAAACCAAAACATGTTGTGTTGCCATCTCAATGGTTGAATCTCACTGGTTTCCCTCCTATTTACGCTGGGCTCTCGACGGTAGCAGCTCCAGTGAATATTGTGACGAATACTGGCTGCGTATTCCCAGCTACGCAATGGAGCTGTGCTTTACCAAAAGAGCAACAAGCTTCTGTCGCACCAAATCTACCAAATCAGCCCAATTTCTTTTTGGAGATTCAATGGGACAATAGCAGTGCGGCAAATGCAACTTTTGCAAATGTCACGGGAAACAAGAACCTCCCTACACGCAGTCTTGTCGGTAACCCCGTTTCTGCTGGGAAATTCATCAGAGACTTGATATTGAGAGCACGTCAAACCGTTACTTTCAATCCCTCGCCGCCACCACCGTCATATGCCGAAGAAGCGTTCTTGGGAGATACCACAGATGGGATAGTTTCATCCAATAAAGCTGGAGAATCAACACCTTTCTACATATCTTTCTTGTCCACCACAAACACTACTTTACCGACTTACAGCCGTGTGAAGCGTGCAGACTCAAACAATACCGATCCAGATCTGTTCCCGAATATCACTACTGGAATTCCGGCCCCAAGTCTGAATCCTGATGGCACTGCCGCTCCAGCTAACCTTCTCCCATATCCCATTCAACAGCCAATTCGTTTGTACGATCGAGGACTTCCTACTGAGCATTATGGATTCTATACTTACTTCAATCGTACTATTTTCCTCAAATCTCTCTCATTACTCAACGAT